TATAACCATACGGTGGTTCTTGCGCTGCTACTGCTGCGCTGGACTTCAGCTTCTGCTTCACAGAGAACGGAACATCATCAAGCAATGCTGCACGGGAATCAGACTTTGACTCACCCTTGCGGGTGGCTTCTTTCGCGTCCTTCGGCGGAGGATCTTTATCACGATCAGGACCAAATAGCTCTGGGAACATTTCATCCAGGTCTTCGCTAAGTTGTTCCTGAATTGTGGCTTCATCGTATCCCCCCCCTTCCTCCAGAGGAGGATGCGGGTTTTGCTCATCAAGGACATTGTGATGTTGTGCATCAAGGCTTGGTGGTTTATCCAAGGCAGGCTCTTGCAACAAAGGAAACTTAAAGTCACCATCTGGTAGCTCCAGTCTCTTAGTCCGAAACACACGTAGATCTTCGTTTTCCAACGCGGCTTCGATGTTGTGTAGGGGAGCAACAACGTACTCAAGCTTGAAGATAAAACCAGGTTGGATGTGGTACCCAAGGAATATACCTTCAATCCCTGTGCCAGCAAACTTGGATCGTTCAGGCTTGCGTTGCTTCTTCGGGGCCCAATAGAGAACTTTCGCTCCAAAGGGAATACGCATGCCATTGAACTTTTCACCATACCTGATTTCCCACGGAATCTGACCATTGTCAATCCTCGCAGTGATGTTAAGACACATAGCATGATGTTGCGATGCAAGAGGCCAATAGCGATCTGGAAGTCCTGATTGCACTAGATTGGCCCGTGTGCCTTCCAAAATTGTTCTGATTTCTCGCTCGATTACGGCCTTGTTTTCGTTCACATACTCTCTAGAAGTGTTGTGACGAGCGCGAAGCTGTCTGGCCGCAAAGTCAAACTCCAACGCATTGTCGGAATATATAACCTTTACCTCATCATCTGTACCAAGGAAGTGCAACATGTCTTCGTAGCACTGCTCACCAGACTTTGTCTTGGAAGGGTACACGTATCTAAACTTAGAATACACGTCCTTCACAACATGAGCCACGGTTTCATCTTGGAACCCGTAATCCTTGGCATCAGCGGTCACGATGTGATCTACTGTGATGTGGTCACCGAACGATTTACTGTAGATTGTAGAGGATCCACCAGATTTACGCGCCTGGGGCGCATACATCTTGGCCCTTTGGCAAATGGGGCAGAACGGATTCTTTGGTCTATGGGTAAGTCGATGTTCCAAAGACACAGCCTCAGCCCTCAAGGAAGCTTCATCCTTCTTAGACTTTGGCATTGTGTATGGCTCGACATCGCTGTCGGCTTGCGCCTCAACTTCCCCTTCAGGCAAAGCAAACAATGTGATAGTCGCAATAGTCCCTTCAGGTACTTCCCCATAGATTCCGTCCAATTCATCAATGTTGACTGAATCCTCCAACAAAGACCACACGTCATCCTTGAATCCCCAAGTAGTCCGGATTCTATACCTTGGGAACTTAGGAGCCGGTGTTCGGAACGTCTTTGGGAAATGTGCCACCTTAGCAGCGGGGCTGCCGTTGATGACAGTCCAACCTGCCTTTAGCAGTTGCTTCTTTTCCACCCCAGGAATGGGAGGAATGCAATTCGCCATCTTTTCGATGGGATCTTCTGCCGCGCCAGCTGGACCTTCAGGTTCATGTTCGTGCTCTCCCCTAGCTGGTGCGGCGTGCCCTTGCGGGCAGCTGTTTACCGAAAACCCGAACCAGACTTGACAGAGGTCGGTGCAACCTTGCTGCCATCAGATTCTGAGGACTTTGCTGCTAAGCATGCCATCAATGGTCCTCGGTCGCCAAATACGGGGACATTGCCTCGGAGTTGGCAAATCATCTTCTGACCGTCTGGGCAAATGAAATATGGCGCCTCACCCGCTGGCCAGTGGAAAGAGAACCCCTGTTCCATGCACTTCTTTCCTACAGAGCAAACTGCAGGTGTGTTGGGGAGCTCAACGAACTGCAATGGGTTCCTCAATGACTCAATGTAGACTTCATGCTTGGTATCAGCGTCTACTGGTCCGTTAGCAGTGATCAAACTCACTGGGTTGGAAGCAACCTTCTTAGCCTTGCCCTTGAAGTGGGCCTCCAAATCAGAGTGACTAATCAGATCTTCCTCGCTACCGGTGTCTGCGATGATTTCGAGGTTCTCACCTGTCACCGCCGCTGCAGCAAGTTGGGGCAGGGGAATTGCTTCTTTGCAGTGAATGCAGAATCCTTCTCTACCCCGACACCTGTAGTTACACTTGACCCGAACCTTAAGCTTCATCCCGTTCACTGCTGATTCCAAGTGACGGGCATTCTGCAAAGCTTCTTCGGTGTCCTCTGGAATTGATGGTGGGCATAGCTCCGCAGACTTGTACCTGAATTCGAACTTGTGCTTGTCTGGTACGAAGCTCCAGCCTTCACCCTCAGGCGGGATGTCAATGATTTCTGGCCTTAGGAACTGGGCTTTCCTGCTTCGGGGCTTTCCGGCAGGGCCCTTGCGGGCTGCTACTGCGTAGGCCTTCACAGCATCGGCCGGTGGCTCACCCGTGAGGGTGGCTGTGAGGGAAAGACAGCAAGCGGCTGGCTTGTCCTCACTCTTTGGCCTTTTCTTACTGGGTCGCCTGCGCTTGCCGGAGGGCGATCTCTTCCCGTCCTTGCCAGCCTTATCGCCTTTGGCCGGGACAGAGGGAGCGGCATCCTTGTGCATGAATGGGCAATTCTTACCGTTCTTGCAGGTGCCTTTGGGGTAAAAGATGCAAGGAATCTTGGAGGTATCCTTCTTCTCCCCACCTTTACCGCCTTTACCTCCACCTTTTCTCGAAGGGGTACGTGGAGGTGTTCTGCCCCTTGTCTGTTCAGGAGTAGGCTTCACATGCTTGTATGGGCACTTATCACCTCGTGGGCACTTCCCACGCTGGAAAGCGTAGCAGGGCTTGTCCTGGCTTCGGCCGCGAGGGGTGTTCGGGGTATCGGAAGGAGCAGGGGCACCAAATCTGGCGCCATGAGCTTTGGCGATTGCTGTGCGGTTTTTGCGAGTCCTATCTCTAGCCAACAGCTCTTTCACGCATTTGACCAAGTAGTCATAAGTGCGTTGCTCTGTTCCTTCCTTAGCCCTGTCGTAAACCTCCAGGTCAAACTTGAGCTTGCTAGCATTGCGAAGCTGACGAAGTAGAATATCTCTCAGCGTAGTCTCCTCGGGTTGGTGATTCAACCCCGCGATGACCGACTCCCAGTTGTGGATGAAAGTGCTAAGGTCATCACCATTCAACTGCACCTTGAGTAGATCTTCTACAGAGTAAAGGGAGCCTGCTTCTTCGTTGGTCTTAAAGTAGTGTTCGAACATCAGTAGAACCTGTCTACCACGAACGGCCCTACCAGCAGCTGCCTCAGACTCCTTGTAGTTAATGATCTGTCGTCCAAGATCACCCCTAGCAACCCTCGAGAGCGCCGAAAGGATCTTCGTGTCCAAAGTGAGGAATTTACCCGTGTCCCTCAACTTCTCCGCATCGGCGTCCCTGGAGTAAACCTCTTGAACCCATTTGAATGCCTCATCGGGTCTGTCCGATGCTGCCCGAACGGCCTCCCTAACTGTGATCTTCCAGCTCCTATAAGTCTCCGGGTTAGGGAAGTCTGGTAGCTTCACCGTTTCAGCTTCCTTAGCCTTGGGTTTGTCATCATCAGGCTTCTGGATAACCGACTTGAGTGCTTCAGCGAGAAGTACGCTAGGTTCTTTGTTTTCAGTAGATTCTGCCGGTTCTTTGTTATCACTCTGTTCAGCAGCAGATACCGCTACATTGTGGGCCTTGGTATCCTCAGGCTCTCCAATGTCATACCGTTGGGTCCTTCCCAAAATCGTCCGAAGCGACACAGGAATCTCCCTGGGGTTCGGAAGGGTCGGAATCCATGAATGGCTAGGACCCTGAACAAGCGGCGCTGCGGCACCACCTTGCGGTGGGCTTGGTTGAAGTTTGGAGCTCTCACTGGGATCGACTTTCACCGGCACGGCACCACCTTGCGGTGGGCTACTCTCCGCTGTCGACAAGATAGTCCTGAGTGAGTCGACCTCAGCTATAAGCTCCGCGTTCCTGTCCTGCAGGTCATCAACCAAGCTATCGTACTGCTGTGCCTCAGAGGTTAGCCTATGGTAGTACTCGTTTTCTTCCCATTGAAGCTTTTCCTCAAACTCAGACCCTAAAAAGGCAATCATCTCACTGTGGTTTTCTTCGATACTCGAGCGCAATTCCGCGAAACGGCGTTCATGCTGTCTGTTTTCCGCAGTGAGCGTGCGCGCTGCTGCTTCCAGCTCGGACCGATGTGCATCAAACTGCATGGCCATAGACCTTTCATCATGACTTTCCCTTTGTGCGCGTGCCAGCTGTGCCTGCAGCTCGTTGGCTGATTGTCGTTCTGCTCGGGCGATTGTCTCTAGCACTCGTACTTCATTGTGTAGCTGTCCCACCAACAGGTGTGTGGATTGGCTCACAAATGCTAGCTGTTGACGATGATTCGCATCCGCTGTTGCCTCTAGGTGTGCAATGTATGCGTTGGCTTCGGCGTACACGTTGTCCAATGCAAATCGATGTCGTTGTTCCGCGCGAAGCTCCAAGGCACTTTGAATGCGAGGGTCATTCAGGAACAAGTTCACCTGAGTATTCTCCTGCAACAAATGCAAGAAGTACTGGTTCGCTTCCTGCTCCGTTCTACCACCAATACCACCGTCATTGTTGTTGCCCGCGGCCGTTGCAAACGGCACGATGTCCATTACGGAGCTAACTACGGCTGATAACCTGAAGTTTCCCAGGCTACCAGCTTGGCACGTCTAGTTACCGGTCAGTCAACCCTTGTGACCTTTTTCCACGGGGGACTTGGGCCAAGTGCGGTCGCGTAAAGACATAGCTAAGGACCATAGGAATAGCAATGGAGGCAGGGTAAAATCTACACAGGCTTCAGTGAGGCACGTTCGATTTAGACGTTGACCAAATCTCAAACCCCAACAAAAAGAAGACCCCCAAACTCGTAACTTTAAGCCGAAGTTTCAGCAGCACCCCGGGAATGTCGCACACCACGGCCATGGCTCGGACGTCAGGGACACACAGGCTTGGGATTTGGTCTCGTCTTCTGGGGATCGCCGGCTCTACAGTCGTCGGCCAATCATAGGGGCAATCCATTCTCGGTTTTTCGGTGAGAAGAGTCTTCATGTGTGAGAAAGGGGTCAAGATTCAGGGCTTTGGCTGACCAATGGGGGCATGGGACTTTGGAGCGGTTCATGTTGAAGCCCCTCTTGGACCGTGGATGTAGGGGCTCCGGGGTTTCCGCGCTTGTAGCTTCAGAGTCTCCCCCGCCCTCCACAAAAAAAGACTTAAACACCCATAAGACCAGATGAGGATTTTCATGCTGAACAAGTCCCCACTTGCCCTGCGACACCCCATCAATTCACATAACATGCACACGCACACAAACACACACACACACACTCTCTCTCTCTCTCTCTCTCTCTCTCTCTCTCTCTCTCTCTCTCTAAAAAGTATATATACATATACATACAGATGCATATATGCTATACATATACATATACATATGTCTTTTAGCACTCATACTCTATCAAGTCAGGCAAGGTATATATACACATGTACGTATGCATTCGTGCATGCGTCGATCGATAGATGGATGGATGGAGGGACGGAGGGATGGATGGACGAGTGGGTATTCTCTGGCAACACCCGATGCATCATACCTAATATCCAATAACAACCTGAACCCTAAACACACCTAATTCCTAACCACATCTTGTGCAATCCTTGTTGGGGAAGACCATGACTCCAAGCACAACACTCTCATACTTCGTAGAGTTTGGAGCTTGTGGCCTTTACGCCTCCTACTTCGCAAGGACGGGCCCGCATGGCAGGGTTGGACAGGTCAGAGAGCAGAAGCGATAAACAGGGCAGGATAATCAGATTCAATGACCTGAGCTGTGAAGGGTGCGTTGCCTTTAGCAGACAGCATCATGGCTTATCGCAGACTTCATCTCAAGACAAGTATGAAGACCGAAAACAGGCAATGCAAAAGCCTCGCCAATTCGCTCTCACATGCCTACTAGCAACTGTCCAGAACCTGAATATAGACCAAAGTCTTCATGGCTTCAAGCCTGAATAATGACCTACCTTCACAACGAACCACGAGTTCAGGACTTGCTTCCCACCCGCCCAGGGCTTAGGGTTTAGGGATCTCTCTCTCTCTCTCTCTCTCTCTCCCAGGCATTCGAAACGAAGAGGCCCTAAATCCTGAATCCTCTAACCCTGACATGGCCAGATGCAAAAGACCCTGAATCCTAACCCCTAACTCGAAACCCTAACACCCGCACATTCCTTTTAGCCGGATCCTTCGGCGGCGATCTCAGGTCCAAGGACCAAGCTTGGGAGTCTCCCAGCGAGGATCTCCGGTCCCTCTCGATTGGGGCACCAAGATGCCATGCTAAGGCACGACAGAAGTATGCCGCAAACACCACATGAATGAGCCTGAAGCCTAAAACAGAGAGCACAGGACTCAAATCTTATGTAGGAAGGCTGACGTGGGGACCATGACGGCCGCGGGTTTTTGTGGGACTCACTGGGAATCAGAGCAGAAGAACTATCCACGCAGCATGTGTTACGTTGCAAGTTCAGGATTTGTCCCCAAGAAAGTCCTCTGCCGGAGTCCTCCCAAACTCTTTTGGCATCCCGAGCGTAAAGGCCACTGTGCGAGATGCTTTCAACTGCAGCTTTTAGAGCTTTCACGGCTGGGAGTTGAAGACTTAGGACTGGCATGCTTTGGGCCGAAGACTCTTCCTGAGCCCTTTGTGCAACATGTTCCTTTTTGGCCCGTTTTGTCGGCTCAAAGAGAGATGAAGCGCCTCTAGTTTAGGGTACCGGCTTCATGAGTTGTCTGGACCCCGCTCCCGCAAGGACTCTGAAGCTGTCAAGGGCCCCGAGTGCGATCTCTCCTAGACTCTCATGGCCACATCACCTTGGTCAGGAGGATCTCCTAACTCCTATGCTGCGCAGCTCTTGTCTTTGTGTTGCAGCCAGCATTCGTCGCAGCGATCGGCCATAGTTGCACGTGAGACAAAACATCTTGGGCTGCCACAGCATGATGCCACGGCCAAACTTCTAGGGGCATGCGAATCCCCCCTACTTGCTTTTAAAATCAGTTGAAAGAACCGAGAGAGTGCCCCCGGCCTTGTGCGACAGCAGGGTTTGCCGAATCAGAGCAATCAGAAATGGGGGCACTGAAGGAAGTCGCTCCATGCTCTGGAGATCGAAAACTCACGCGCCGTGATTTGCATAGCCATGTGTGTAGATCACGGAAAGATCCCGAGCACCTCAAACGCACAACCTCCATCCCCCAATGCGGAGCTACCACCTAAAGCAACACGCCAAACTTGGCGTCGTTACAAAGTTCGTCATCACCATCATCATGATCATCAAGAAAACAGAAGCGGCAGCAAACCTGAGCTGCTATGTTCCCGAAGTTCAGTAGTGACATATCCCAACGCACTTCATTCCCTTTTCAACCTATCTCAGCTACAAGCAGCATCAGACTTTGTTGTCACACATTGGAACATGAGCACGTGCCTTGGGGAACCTCGCACCAGAACCTTGTAACGACTGCACGTAAGCCCCTTTGGCAAACCCCGTCGCATGAGCTTTTCATGGCCGCGGTCGGCCCCATGCTGAAGAGTGGTGGTCATAATTGTGGTCCCTTTTCGGAAGCCGTCGGATGCCTATGCAACCAGTCTCACATGGTCGAGGTAGAGCTACCTCTTCACAGCCTGTACCTCATTTTCCGAAAGCCTCAAGAGGGACCCTAATTTCGACAAGCACTCACATGAACTTTCTCGAGGCCTGGGCAGGTCAATTCCAGGTTCGACTTTGGGGCTTGAGCGTTTTGGGTTTAGGGGAACTGTCGGATTGAAGAACTGTAGTCAGGTATGAATGTTGTATTTGGGTGCAGACATCGACATGCAAAATGTTCGGGCTGTTTCGAGCACGGCTCTGAGATATTGCTGCTATATGCTTACATCGTCTAGCCCCCAGAGCACTATTCCAAGGTTGAGATTGGGCGGTTTTAAAGTTTTAGAGATTAGTGGATTTCGGAAACCGGTCTCCTCCACAGTATGTGGTAAGCAGGGCAACTGAATGCTAGCCCGGCGGCATGCGCTTGGTTTCCTTGGACAAAGGTGGACGCGCAATGAGACTAGAGGGCCCTAAACTTCCCCTTTTCTTCTTGCATCTGGTATCCGAACATCAGAATCCAAGAAAACACCGAGCCCTCATAGCAACCCTGGATAGTCAGATCCGTATTACCTACCTAGGCTAGCTCTATGTTGCTCTAAGCCCTAGCCCTTTTGCATCCAGGCCTATTGCGAGTGCCGGGTAACCCTACAGAAAAGAAAGTGGTCAGGCAAAATCTGCAGCACTGCTAGGGCTTTTTTCCCTTAAACCGTCTCAGAAATTGCTCTTGCTGCCCCTCATAGAGCAGCCGACCCAATCTTGACAGGAGCACCGTAAACAAACTCTGTTGTGAGATCACTGCCGTTAAGCCTTCACTATTCCTTATTGACATGGTGAAACCCAGAACATATTGATGGCGTACTACTGGCGATTCCTTTGCAGGATATATATATATATATATATGCTTCCAGGCTTTACGCTCTCTCGCTCGGACAAGCCAGATGAGAGCTTGCAGAAAGCTCCGATTAAAACTGTAACGGTTTCGGCGCTCACGCTCGGACAGTAACGGTTTAGGGTTTAGGCCGTTCAAGGTTTAGGCAAGGTCTTGGAACCAGGCTTTCGACGCTCACACTCGCGGCTTTGGGGATAGAGCCTTTCTTGCAAACCCAAAACCCTAAAACTGAAAAACCCTGCCCGAAACCCTGAACCACAACGACACCCCTCTACAACCCTTCCCTCAATATACCCCTGTAGAACCCTTGAAGACACCCTCAAAGGAACAGAAAGGGAAGTCTAAACCGAGGCACCGCTTATCCTGTAAGTCAAGAGTCTGGCTTCCTTTGCCACAGCGGCTTGTTCCAGCCTGACTGCATTTAACTTCTCAGAACCCGGGGTTTCCAAACTACATGGAGATGCATGATGTATCTACGAATTTCGGTACGTGCGCAAGATTAATTGCAGAACTCATGAACAAATGAATGAACCAATGAACGAACGAACGAAATGATCGACTGAATGGAATGAAGGAATGACTGACTGAATGAATGAATGCGTTGGATTGCACTGGACGGATGGATGCATGGATGGATGGGAGGGAGGGAGGGATGAATGACAACGTGTGGGCTGTATACATGTGTCGCTACAGGCAGCCCTCTTCTTTGATCTCAACTCTCCTAGCCCCTTTTGAAACCGGACTCTCCTAGCCCCCAAACTCTAAACCCTCAGACCGAAACCGCCATGTAAACCGCCAGCCGGCCTCTCCCGGGACTGAGAGATCATCAATGCAATCGCCGGCCAGGACACAGGCTCCTGGTCCTGGCGGAGTGGAATTCCGATACTCACAGAAAAGCGAGAGAGAGAGAGAGAGAGAGAGAGAGACAGAGACAGAGAGAGAGAGAGAGAGTGAGAGAAAGAGAGAGAGAGAGAGAGAGAGAGAGATGGAAAGAAATGAATAAGCTGGATGGAGAGAGACATAGATAGGTAGATCAGATAGACTCTGAGTGCTTGATCGATAGGCAAATAGACGGTGGATAGATAGGTAGGTAGTTGGGTAGATATATAGACAGATAGACAGATAACATGATGCACGTATGTGTATATACACATAGAACACATGTACATGTATTCCGATTGCATACCTCTGCATATAGCTTCAGACAGATGACTACATAAACATACGTACAAAAATGTGCGTGTTTACGCGTTTGCATGCAGATGCAACAACGTGTGCTGGGTTTGACTGAATCCCCTTGGCCCACTTGTCAAGGTTGACATCCTTTTTTGGAACAGGCTTGCCGGATTCAGCCTGGATGTGCACACTCAGGGGAAGGAACGGTTCTTTAATGCCATACTTTCCACTTCTGAGCACACAACAGCAATAATGGACCCGAATGGCCAGTAGGGCTGTACAGGACGAGGGGGTCCGTCTGGAATATTTCCAAGAGTATGTGAATGTGTATTGAAGTATTGTGAGGCATTGCAAGCACTATGCATTGCACCTCATAGCGGCAAGACATCAATTCTCAACTGTACAAGGTTGAAGTCTGCTTTGCGGGCCTAGCTGCCCTCTCATACTCGACCTTTATGCTCTGGCTTTCTGCGCCTGCGGGATGTCGTCAACGCGTGCCACTCCAGGCACCGGGGCATGCAGGAACACATGCTCGGGAGATGTGCCTGAGAATCCTGCTGCAGTGTGGCCAGCTCCATACATTCGGTATTTGTGGATCACCAAGCCTGGGTCCCACTTGGGAAAGGACCCGTTTAGGGGCTCCCTCTAGAAGTCGTAGGAGGCCCAAACAACAAAAAACAAGAAGGAGACCTATCATTCACCAAGAGACCCTCAAGTCCGACGGGACCTCGTGCATGGATTCGATTTGTGGATATGCCCACCTCTGCTCCAAAGCCATAGCGGAAGCCATCGGCAAATCGCGTCGAGCAGTTGTGGTAGACACCCGCCGAATCTATCCGACTGAGGAAGGTTTCGGCAATCACGGGGTCTTCCGTCACGATGCTCTCCGTATGCCCAGAGCTGTGGCTGTTGATGTGCTCAATCGCTTCTTGGACAGAAGCAACTGCCTTGACAGCCATGGTGTGGCACAGGAACTCAGTGTCAAAATCATCTTCCGCCACTGGTTCGGAAAGAGCTGCAGGCAAAAGAGGTAAACATGTCGCATCTGCCTTGTAATGCACATCCTCCTTTCCTTCCAACGCTGCTGCGAGCTTTGGCAGGAAAGATTGCACCACATCTTCATGCACCAAAAGTGTCTCCATAGAGTTGCACGCCGCGCAGTAGTGCGTTTTGGAGTCGACGACGATTTTCACGGCTTTCTCCAAGTCCGCCTTGCTGTCGACATAAACAGCACAGATTCCGTCTGCATGGCCCATAACAGGAATGCGGGAGGAATCCTTGATAGACTTGACCAGCTCGTTGGAACCCCTTGGAATGACCAAGTCGATGTACTTGTCCTGCCTTAAGAGCTCCGCAACTTCTGTGCGGGTGTCAACCCCTTGAACACAATCTGCAGGAAGGCCGACATCTTGCAAAGCTGCAGACATTGCGGTCACAAGGGCTGCATTGGATCGTTGTGCCTCCTTGCCACCTTTGAGGAGCAGGGCATTGCCAGACTTCATAGCCAGGGATGCAATCTGAACAGCGGCATCCGGTCGAGCCTCGAAAATGATGAGGAGAACCCCGATCGGACATGTCAGCCGGTATAAGTCCAGACCTTCCGCAACTTTGTTTGCATAGGTCACCTGGCCAAGCGGGTCTGGCAGGCTCAAGATCTCATCAATGCCCTTCAAGAGAGTGTCAAACTTGGCGCCACTAACGTCCAAGCGCTTGAAGAGCGAACTGGACAGCTTGCCTGCTTTGACGGCAGCTTCGGCCTCTGCCTTGTCTTGGGCGTTTGCCTCTTCGATCATAGCTCGATTCTCCACCAGGTGCTTCTTGAAGGCCGCTAAAGCCTGGTTCCTGAGGCTCCCGCTAGAACCTGCGAGGCTCTGACCGGCGAGTCGTGCTCTTTTGGCAACCTCTTCCATGGCTCAAGCTATGCTCAAGCGTGCTCGACTACGTCTTTGGGGAGGACTTGTTGCCAGGTTTCTTGAGCCCGAAACCAGAACGGCAGGCTTTGGAGCTGCAAAACCTCAACCCCTACACCCAATAATCCGGTTATTAATAACCCCGTGATTGCATAGAAGTCATAGGATACTAAAAAAGACAAGTGATTTCTAAGAGAGCACCCTGCGATCCACATGCCAAGTTCTGCGGCTCTAGGTTTCCACGGGGTTTTTGCTTGGCAGTCAACGCGAAGCTTGGGGCTGCGGGGCGCCTGCTGACTCTGGCTGATCTTGGCGGCAATCTCGCCAATGTTCTCCTGGGTTGCGGCGTAGGGTTTTGCGTCAAGGGATTAGGGTTAACGCTAGGGTACGAACAGCCGTAAGCATTGTCGCGGTCTTCCGGGGTTGAGCGTATGTTTTATGATCCCGGAACGTGAACAGATCGAAAGGCAAAACGCCCATGATAATGTACAAATAGCTTTGAGGGCTCAGGCTCTTCAGGGTTACAAGAATCTGCACCGGCAAGCCCTGCAATAGCAGTAGAAACAGCTCTAATTATGTAGTACGACAACGTGCCGCTGTATGGGTATCGCCTTCAGATAGCCTGCCAATGCAGAAAATTTGAGACCTAGAGCACAGAAAGCCAACGTGTTTTTGGACCAATCGTGCCCTCCTCGATCAGCGACGCGATATTGTCGTCCTTCTCTGCAATCTTACCTTGGAAATGTGGCCACCACTGCGAATGTGAGAAAGATCGATCTCCGAAGCTCGGGCTTTTCCCTGCTTCTCCGGCTTCCTTAGGAAAGGTACAGCTTAAGCTTTGTACTTGTCCTTAGTACCCCAAGAAGATCGTAGGCTACGTGTACTTAGTATACCAACCAAGTCGTCTCGATGCAAAGAGCCCCAGAGCTTCCACAAGCTTTCTGGGATCTTCGAGAATCATAATACGGGTGTTACAAAGGAACATGATATGGGAACTAATTAAATTCAGGAAACACTACTGCCAAGTATTCCGACTGCTATGAAGCCGGAGGGGTCCAGTGCGGTACAGTGGCTGTTGCACAGGTCGACCATCTCGTTCAGTTCGGCGTTCTGTTCCCCGCTGGCAGAGACAAAGCGACGGTGCACCTGTAATGTTGGGGTCTCAATAAGAATAGGGGTTTTTCGGGTATAACATAGGCGTATAGGCAAAAGGGACTGCAGGCGGGTACTAGCACCAACCAGCCCTTTTGCTATGCCTGGTGCCCTTGCTTTGTGAGACCCGCGCGGAAAGAGCATCCCGACACTCCCCTCCCCAAGCAAAAACGAATCCACACACCCACCGGAGCCTCGGCTGCTACCACCAGCTCCGCTACAGGAGCCAGGGTCGCCCTGGCGCCATCCTCCAGAAAAACCAGGTCTTTGCCCTTCACAAGCTGACATCCATAGCCCGATGCAAGGTTAACACCTGGGTTGTGGTAGGCATACATACGCCATATGCCCAAGAAGGATGCAGGTTACCCACTTGCAGAGCTCAATAGCTCTAACTCTGCATCACCTTTTGTAGGAAACCCCAAACTCCAATTTTATCGGGGGCTTTGCTCGAAAGGGAGGCCTGCGCGACGGGTCAGTCATATTTTCTTTTGCTGGGCTACCAAAGCCTTCAGGCCCAGCAGTTCGGTCTGGAAAGTGGCGGTTTAAGAGTTTACAAGTCCCGACTCTAGTGGGCTTTCGGTGTCAAAGTTTAGGTGGTCTCCCTACCATATACACTGGATTTTCTGAGGAGGCGTCCGTTGGTCCGGGGAAGGTTCGCGGCTCTCTGCGTGCCGTTGGTGAGAGCCTGGAGCCTCCGAAGCCCCACTTCCCAGCTGCCTCCTGCGGAAGGAAGACTCTCGGCAGGTCCTGGAGACGCCTCGCAGGGTGCGGATGCCAAACACAAACTCGGCCCTGCGAAGAGCCGAAGAGGCTTCAATGCGCGGGCAAGGGGCCAAAGGTCTCCAGAGTTGACCGGCACCTGCCCTACACTCTAAATCCCCAACCCTAAGGAAGCATCCCCCACCTCTCGGCATCCAGCCCTGCTGCATCCAGTGGCGCCCGGACAAGTTGGCGAACTTCGTGTTCCAGCTGCCTTAGTGGGCTGAAGAAATAGCCCCGGGTTCCTTTTCAGAAATCTACAGGAGCTAGAACAAGGGACAGGGGGGTATGTGATTGGGCCTGGTAGGCGCCCTAAGGACCGGGGTTGTAATTGGTCTCCTTGGGTTTTGTGAGGTTTGATATGGCAGCCAGTGTTTCTGGAGTAGTACAACTGTCAGGGACTCTAAAGGACGCTACTACAGCACTGGTTTTTTCAAGGCCATTTCGAAGGCAAGTTTCGCAATCAGATTCTTGTTCACCCTCACACGACTTTCTAGCCTCCCCATTGTTCATCATACAAAGTACAAGATATGTTAAAGTAATATGGCGGTTTACTCTGTCATGTGCCTATGCTATACTACATTATCACGTAAAGTTATCCTCTATTCCGTCGCGCCTGAAGTCTCAAGCCCCTTTCCTCCACCTCATTCCTATGCTTAGGTCTGCAGAGATACGGACTCCAATGCTGGCCGCAAGCTCCACTCTGAGAGAAGGGGGGGAGCCCAAGTACTAAACTCCGAATGCTCTTCACTTGCTTTACAACCCCTTGTCCAGGCATCTTCGCGAAACCCCATAAGTCCCGCCAACAGCCCCGAGCAAGGGCCCGCGCCGGGCACGCTGCTCTGCTGCGAGGAGGTCAATTACCTGACGAGGCTTTGAAGCGCCTTCGGAATTGTTTAGGGCTTGGGCTCAGCGTGTTTTTGCTTTTTCGATTGTTGTTTCCATCCGCTCAGCGTGGGTTTGGGGTTCGGGCGGCTTTGCAGAGGCTGGGTCGCTAAGACCAACCCTCAACCCCTACGTTAGGATTAACGAACGTCTGAGGCCGCTCTGCGCATCTTTTTGGCTTGCGGGGTGGGTGATGGGGCTTTCGGACTCTTTTCAATATCTCCCGTTTTGTCAAAAAAACATTGGCACTGGGAGGGGAGGGGCATAACGTGAGTAAAGGTTCCTATGCCCGGACTCCAACACTTGTGCCAAGTCGTTGCCGAATCTTCAAAACCCTCAGCCACCGAACTCCTGCGATCCGGAGACCTCGCTGGCGCGCTCGGCATCAAGGAACTGATCCCAGTACTCCTGGCTTCTTGGAGCTTCGAGTTGAGAGCTTTCGGCTCCCATCTCCGTTTCGACGCTTCCACGATCAGGGAGGGAGCGAGGCTTCGAAGATACGGTGCAAATCTGCGAGGTCGTCTTGGTTTCTGGTGTTTTCGGGATTTGGGTGGTCTCATGTGCAGGAAGCTCTGAGTCTTGGGGGTAGCCTGTTGCCATATTTAAGACTCCTTACAGAGAAGCCCAATCCAAGCCAAGACCTTGAGCCCCAAACCGAAATGCCCCAGCTGAGGCACGTTGCAAACAGCGCCGGCTTTCCGGCTCAGGAATTCTTACAAACACTGGCTCCCAAGAACCTAAGAACAGCTCTCCAAAACTATCAGAAAATACAGGCGTCACGTGCCTCCAAGCCCACCGTGCGCCGCGCCAACTGTCGCGCCTTTCCATGGTGCCGTCCAGAAACATCAACACGACTCGCACAAATCGTGACAACTGCAGGCAGCCCGCTTCACAAGCCGCTTGAAGTTGGGCTTAGAAGCAAGGTCTCTGGGTATTACCGTTGCGAGAATGTTTGTCCCTGCTCTTGCATGTCCCCGCCATTTCCTTTGCCTTTGCTCGGGGAGACCTCTCAGTCGTATGCCAAGCCACGGCCTCCTGCTCCTACTACTACTACTACTACTACTACTACGACAACGGCTACTCCTCCTACTGCTCCTACGGCTTGTTGCTGCCGCTGTTACGGCTAGTGCTAGTGCTGGCGCTGGAGCTTGTGCCGGTGCCAGTTCTAGTACTGCTACTGCTATTGCTACTGCTGCTACTACTGCTACTGCTACTGCTACTGCTACTGCTACTGCTACTGCTACTGCTACTGCTACTACTACTACTACTGCTACTGCTACTGCTACTGCTACTGCTACTGCTACTACTACTACTACTACTACTACTACTACTACTACTACTACTACTACTACTACTACTACTACTACTACTACTACTACTACTACTACTACTACTACTACTACTACTACTACTACTAGTACTAGTACTAGTACTAGTACTAGTACTAGTACTAGTACTACGACGGCTACTACTACCACCACTACCATTACCCCCACTACCATTGCCACCTCTACCACTACCACCACTACCCCTCCTCCTGCTCCTCCTCCTCCTTCTCCTGCAGCTGCCAAGACCACCACCACGATCACTGCTGCTACAACAAGCATGCTGACCCGGACAACGTGTACGAGGACGAGCACATCGACGAACACTTTCTAATACAGAACATGCATTCTTCCACGTCCTGTGCTTGTATTCATTCATGGGCATGGCTCCTCTTTCTCGAGGCCATCGATCTCCGCGGACATCTGATGCCTGATCATGCTCTGAGTGGACGATGTGATGAGAAGACTGCAGCACCATCTTCTTCATGACGTCACCACCCTCATGACACCCCAGCCCACGGCAACTGCACCTGTATCGGTAGCAGGATCCCGTACCAGGACCGGACCAGCACCAACGCATCATCACCGACAACAGCATTAGCATTATCCTCATCATCACCATCTGTGTCATCATGTCATCACAACAACATGCCAGCGACTCGACGCCTACAGCTTCTTGTGTCACGATTGTCAGGCCGGGCACCTCTGCTTTTTCCGCGTGTCCACCAGCTCCTGCACTTTTCCTGGGTTGCTTTGGGGTTTAAGCTTCCCACCGGCGAAGCGCAAGAATACCGCAAGAGTCCAGAACGAGAACATGTGCAACCAGGATAACAAACACGGCCACGGCTCGCTCGTTTCCTGATCATCCTTCATGCAGAATAACCACCGGAAGAAGCACCGTTTCTAGCGATGCGGCTGCTCTACATCGCTGAGCAATGAAACCCACCATCCCTGAACCTCTAGAAAGTGTAGGTGTCGAATAGAATCAAAAGAAGGAAGCCCAGGTAATGGTATACCTCCTAATCATACTGCGCTCACTCCAAGATGACAATGGAACGAGGGCCCCACAGCTGCCCCTAAACTCTGAAACACGAAAGAGGCAAGCAGCTGCTGGTCTGACGCGCTTTCTTCTCCCACCAGGCGCAAACATCTCGATCACTGGCCATGTCCTGCGACGTAGCAAGGTCTGGGGCTTAGGGTCCGGGGTTTGAGGATTTCGAAGCTTAACGTTGGCTCTTATGTTCGGAAATTAACGGCTTAAGGCTCGGGGGTGAAGGCGCAGGGTGTCGGGTTCAGAGGGTTCAGTCTGTGGTGCGGTGCTCAACAGCTCAGCATCTCGTGAGCCAATTCCTTTGGGACCCTGCCTATGCTTGACAACGAACTGGGACAGCCATCACCGGAACATGGTGAAACGATTGCATGGCAGGATGCCGTGGTAAGTGACGAACCCGAAAGCTCCGGTTGCGGCTGCCCTCCTACGCCTTCCAAGCTTCCTACGCACTCTGAACATTCCCTCGGCGATATCCCCCAACACCCCAAGCCCTGAACCTCAATCATAAAGCCCGACCCTAAGGCCCTTCAAGCAAATCATACAAAATACATAGCAGGAGCCCTGAGTTTCTGAAGCCCCGACATGTCTCTGGACCCTAGGCATCCCTTGTCCTCATGGGCTGTCTTGTCTCCGGCGGTTGCTCGCGCAAGGCGATTCTTAAAGGTCTGCAGCCGCTCCTCGCCGGACGTAGGGCATTCTCACGGTTTAGGGTTTGGAGGCGTTTGGCACATAGTATGAGGCTCTGCGCACTGAGCATCCACATGGGCATTTATAAGACCTCCGATTTACAGGTTCGGACGGGAAGCAGGGTTTCAGCACGGCACTTCAGGCGGCTTCTCAGGTAGGATCCACAGCCGGCAAACTCCAAGCCCCAGGCCCCAGGCACAGTGAACAGTCGTTCTGCACTGGTGGTCCAGTCTGGTGGTTCATACAGCATGCTCCGCCGACCGTGTACCGGTCTCTCAAATCCAGGCTCTAGCCTCCTGCAAACCACCAGCTCGGTCCTTGATGACAACACGAACGACAACCCAGGCCCAAATCCGAAGTCCCCCAAAGGCCTTCTGATCCCGACATCCGCAAGCCTTTTGCATCCAGGACTCTTGCAATCAGCCGGGAAAATGCACAAGACAGCGCGTAAACCCTCCAGCAGCACTCGTGGCTAAAACCGCGAAACCCTGAGCCCTACAACCGCCACATTGCAATACAAGCCCTTGGCCAAGGCCACGAGCCGTCTCAACCGGGAAACACGGTATTGATCCCAGGTCCTTCAAATATGTGGAGGTCGTGCGCAGCCGCTTCATTTCGTCCGAAATGGCTTCCTGCCGAGGTCTGTGAGCTTCACAATGTCGGAACGGCCCGTCCCCCGTTGCTACAAGTCTGTTCGGACAGAAAGCCTCGCTGGCACAAGGACTACCACTAATTTGGCCGTGTGACCCCTCTTCCTCCTTTTCGGCTCATTGCTGTCTCCCGGAAGCTGTTGAAACTCTTGCTCCGCACCCGAGGGTGTGGTGCCTGCAAGTACCGGACAACATGACCCTGCAACTCCAAGCCCTGTCCTGCTCCGCATGCATCTCCTGAAGGTGCTGCCGACCCTTGGCACACCTTTTCAACCAGTGGCTCGGCCCCCCCCCCGCCCCCCCGCCACTCAACCTCTGCGCACGCCCTCTCCTATCCTAAGCGAAAAGTAAAGACAGTCGCCATATCAATGGTACAGTAATGTACAGTGTCATCAGCATCACCATCACCGGCACCAACAACGTTGCCAGCATCATGAACGTCCTCGTCGTTACGCTGCATCCAAGCATTTGCGACTGTCAGACCGTGCTCCAATTCTTCGCACTGGCAGAAGCTGCAATTTTTGCATCCGGTCTGCAGCGACTCTAATACCCCTGCAAACCTCACAGTCATTCACAGTCACATGACCCTAAACCCTATAAAAAAATCCAAACCCTTGTCCCTGAACCCTACATTGCCCGATATCAAAATCTAAACACTCGGCTGACCCCGGTCTTCCCTGCTTCCAGGCGCTTCTCCCGCAGCTTCGCGACCAAGTTCCGCGTGCGCATATCGCCTTCCAACTCGTCCTCGCTAGAAGAGAAGTGTTTCTTCCCCTGCTGCTAGTACTTCTAGCGAGAAGAGTTTCGGCGCTCACTCTCAGACAATGCATGCGAAGCATGTGCTTCGAGGTCTGAATGAGCGACCAGAATACCCTTGTAGTTTAGGGGTTGCTGCTGCCCTACCTAGCATTTAGGGATTTGGGCCCAAGATCTTGTCCCAATAACCCTGAGCCCCAAACCTAAACCGCCCAGCAACCCTCGGCAAAACGGCCCCAAACCCTTCTGACCAGTTTTCTGGGGCCGTTGCCCCTGGCACCTGAGGTCGAGCACGGTAAGCCACTTGGCGGACGTGGAGAGGGTGGTAGCAGCACCAAAGGAAGCATCAGCAGCAACGGGAAGAGTTGAGCTTAAGTAGCAGGAGCACGCTCTGGAGCAGCAGCATCAGCAACCGCAACCAGGTACTGGGAAAAGTGCATGACCATCAACGTTGTGATCGCCATCCTCCTTGCTATTGTCAGCATCTACAGTGGCTGCCTACTATCGCCACCATGATCACCGTTGTCGGCTGGTCTTTTTTGCCCTCATGACGATTTGTTCTTCTTCTCTCTTCTTCAGCTGCCACTGCCGCAGCTGTCTTTCACCAACATTACGTCCCACTTGTATCAGACTGCATACACTAAACTGCACAGATCTCCTGTACCTTACCCCTACAATGTCGTCGCAGGCTGCCGTCCCCCTGCACACCCTCCCCATCGCTCCTCGGAGTGGTCGAGGAACGCAGACTCCCCGTCGAGGGAGTCCTGGCGGGCAGCAGGGGCCTGGGGGTGTTTGGGCCTGAGACCTTTTGGTTTTGGTTGAGGGTTTCGGGCTCGTGATCCTGGTCTCGCCGCTACGATAACTCAGGCTCTCCTCGTCGCTGCCCTCCTCGCTGCTGCTAAACTCCGACTCATCGTTGCTTTGCCGCCTGCAGGTACGGATCCAGCCATCTTTGAATTAGGGTCTCAGGTCCTACGAAAACTCAGGGCAGCGAAACCGCCGTAGGGCTTAGGCCTTGGGCCAACTTGAGGCTTTGGTGCAGTACCCCGATTCAATAGCCCATACTCACCACACTCTGCACGAGAATCGAAGTCTTAGGTTCTGATATTCGTAGCTCCCGGCTCACGGTTCACCCTTAGGGGTTTGGGCTTCAGATTCCCCCGTTTTGGGGGAGCCGGGGTTCCAAACACAAAGCACGGACTTCATGACCCAATGGCTTCGTAGCCTGCCACCGTTTCTTAGCAATCAGGAAATGTAAGGTGCTGAAATGCAAACTCTGTCGACGTCCTTATGCAGATATGGGAAGTCCGAAACTAGGAAACTCTACCATGAACAAGAACCCAGGTTTTCTTACCCCTAGAGCGGCATCTTTCGCCAACTACGAAACTCCTGGGAAGCTGAGTTCCCCCCCCTCCCCGAACCACGAAGTCTCCAGCTCTGAGCTCTTGGACTGCAAATACCACTGTCATGGGGGCCTTAATGATGAAACCGGGCTTTCGGGGGGTGTTATGCGGAGTTTGTGACAAAGTGTTCAAACCTCGATCTTGAAGCCCTGGTCAGAGAGCAGCGCGAGCTCCACCTGGCGAGATCCTTGTCAAACATGGCCCAGAGGCCGTCAGGGCCATACCTTGTCTCGGGGGCATAACTTGTCTAGGGCCGGGTTTAGGGGTGTAGGGTTTAGCCTAAGGGTTCTGTACACTTAGACTCCCGATATTCTTGGTGCATTAGGTCTTTAATCTTGGGTTTCGAGAGGTCGAAGCTTATACTAAGCCCTAGACGTGAAACCGTAAGTAACCCCGCACCCCAAGCCTCAAAGCTAATTCTAGCAGAAGGGTCAGGGCGTTGAGGGTTTTTGGTTGGCCAAGAGTATCCGAGCTTTGACAGGCAAGCCTCTAGAGAGGCAGGGCTCGATATCAGGGCAGGCATAGATAGAACTGGGTCTCCATGAGGGTTTCACCGCATCATAGGGTTTTTGTATGGGACGGTGGTCTCATACTACATCGGGAGACAAACGAGCAGACCTCCATATTAAGCTGATACAGGAGCTTCTAGAAGCTGGCCCCCCACCTGGCTCCGCGTATTCGCCGTCCCTCGCGGGGCTTGCGCTCACCGTCCATCCTCGGAGGTTCCAGACACGAGTATCTGAACCTAGCAGAACCTACCATACTCGGGTTTATACTCAGACCGTACAAACAAGCAGGTTTTTAGCAGGCTAAGGGTTGGCGGTTCATGGCTTCGGGCTTTGGATTGAAGGCTTCTGGCCGAGGGTTGAGGGCTAAACTAAACGGAATCCTCAGAAATGCCTAGCCTTTAGGCTTTAGGGTAGGGTTTACGGAATCTTGAACCTGTAGTGTGCTGGTGACAGTCGAGCTGCTCATCATCGTCTTCGTGGATCTCCACCTCTTCCACCTGCTCGGACATACGACTTTCTGAAGCCGCACTCTCCAGAATCTAAAGCCCGGTGTTTGGGCTGCAGAGGCTCGGGGGTTTGGGTAAGTTTAGGCTTTCGGAGTTCATGGGATTAGGGCCTAGGCTTGGGGCGATTCGGAAGCTCTGAACAACTCTGGCCCTGAAAGCCCAGACTCCAAACTCCAAGGCTGAGGCCCTCAGGCGAAGCGTGTCGGGCCCTCATTCCTACACACCAAAACCGAAGAGCCCGAGTACCAAAAGCCCATGATCTCCTGCGGCACCCATGCCTTAACCCCCCAAAACCCCCCAATCAAACTTACATTAGCGTTTGAAAAGATCCTCGACATAAGACCCGCCGAATCCCGATATGAATCCTTGCCAAGCCCTTCTAATAAACTCTACAACCCTAAACCGATCTTTACAAAGCTCTGCCAAAAACCTTCAAAACACCCTGCACGGATGCTTAACATGCCGGTTATCACCTGGCAAAAACACTGCAAGAGCCCTCGCATAACCATTCTAAACCCTCACGAAGCCCGTCTAGACCCCTAGACCCCATGAAATCCCGCAAAGGGCCTCGCTTTGCTTGTCGCTCCGCCCCCGACTCTGCTTTCCTCCGGTATTTAGGCTGATGTTTGCTGTCAGGGTTACTACAAGACCTACAATGAGTGTACGATAAAGGTGGCTGCAAGGTGTACTATGGATGTTACTGTAGGGGGTTACGGCTGGGTTTCGGGCTTGCATTTTTTTCCCTCCTACCTAGCAAGGACAAAGCCCGCAATGCAGGGTAACGTCGAAGCAACATCTGAAAAGGCTGTGCAGCTTTGACAGCCAATTAAATAAAGCCTCTCAGCATTTGAGGCCAAGGGTTTCTTGTAGGTCTAGGGCCTAGGGAGTTCAGGTGAGGTTTTAAGCTTCAGTTCTCCAAGATCCGGGCTCCTGGGGTTCATTGGGGTTCAGGGTTGGGGTGTTCGGTTTTGGGGCTCTTGGGGGTCTACTGTGAGCGTCTGTGGATCGGCTGGAGGTGCGCTGTGGGACTTCAAAATATTGGTGGTTTCTGCTTCTTCTGTTGTAGGGTGCTCTAAACCCCAAGCTTGCTACCTCTAGAGCTGTCTGCTGAAAAGCCACGAGCTTTCCACTTCTTGCGTTGCTGCCGGCTGCTGGGGCTGCTGTCCAGCAACTCCTGCCAGGGCGAGGCTCAAATGGGATCGGATCTCCAGGTACTCGGACATATAGGATCCTAGAATAAGTAGAATATGGTCTTGGGCCATACTATTGTATGGTGCTAAGAGGGAACCCTAATCACTGGTATGGATCTTTATGCAGGCTTCTATCCTCAGAGCACGTAAAGGGCTTTGGCAGATGGCGATCGGGTTGAGCCTTTGGGGGTGCAGGAATTTTGAACACCAGCTAGGCAGAAGTTGCATAGCTTTATCCTATTCTGCATTTCAACTCCAACGGTTTAACAGTCATTCGTTGCAAAGGTTTGCCCGAATGGCTAGCACACGTCTCGGCTCCAGAGATCTATGGATTCCGGTGGTGCCAATTCCGTTTCTTGTTGTGATAGGGCGTGTTGGTTGTTGAAACAGTTAACGGCATGCTTGTAGGGGGCTAGCGGCATAACAGTTTTGGGTTTTTAGGACTTCGTGTCAGCAACAAGCAGAAGGCGAAGAGGGTATGCACGGGTACTTCGAAGTGCTACCTGCGAGCATGCCACCTTACCAACCTTAATGCTGATCTGTTCTCGGCCGCTGTCCTCGTCAGCATGGTTTCCCATGTTCGCGACCACCACCTGCAGCAAGGGTTCTGAAGAGTTGGAGACGAGAGCTTGCCTCTGGCAACGTACGCTCGAGAGACAGAGTCTGCCTGGCCTGTAAAATCTGCTGGCACAGGACCTGCCCACATCTGGAAGCCACAACTTCAGCCGTGCATCCGTCAGCGTTCCTTGGGCACAGAACAGCAGAAGTGGCCTCCATATTATATTGCATGCTCTTTTTTGTGCAACTGCCTGAATAGAGAACAGATTCTTCGCCAACAGCACTAGCAGCAGCAAAAGCAGCAGCAGGAGGAGCACTCAATGCAAACCGTCTGGGGTTGAATCCTGTGAGCCCAACCCAGAAGTCGAAACTCCCTTGGTGCGGAGAGGAGGCAGCGAAGTGGGGTTAGTGCCCAAGGATAACAGAAAGCTGATGAGCTTGGCGGCACCATACCTGCTCCAGCCGTTCGGACTTGTCGCTGAATGTAACGAAACAGGCCTGAATTCGATATTGCAAACCTCCCCAACTCAACCCCTTAGTTGCACATGCCCAGGCCTCAACCCCTAAGCAATTCTCAACCCTCAGAGCAACCCACGACCCGAGCTCCAACCTCGCTGCCAGGTGGAGGGCCGTGTTTTCCAGCGGGCCGACGTCGACTAGGCCAGGGTCCGCCCCAGATTCTACCAGGAGGCCGATAATCTCACCTGCGCTGCGTGAAGAATTCTGGGGTGCTTTCGAGCATAAGCTTCAGGTCGGAAAACGGTCCTGCGAAGCGAATGCAAGACAAAGGGGAAGTCGCCGCTAAGTGATCACTTCAGATGTATCCACTTTATGCTAACTGTGCTTGACCAAGAGGTCCCTTTGATGGTTTCTCGAGCCCTTGTTGCGAAGAGGCCCTCAGTCATCATCAGCGACCGGAAACAAAACATGCCTGAGCCCAAACCCTCAATGCTCAGCCAAAGCGCCAGCGAGCATCTGCACTGCTTTCTCTTTCTGTGCTCCAGCTCCCTCGACCTGCACAAGGGGATTTGGGGTTCAGACTGCAAAGGGTTCAGACCAGCTAAGATCTACGGCTAGGGCTTGCGTGGCTGGTGACACTTCTGCTACTCAGAGTGTAGCACCTGCTTTTTGTCACACTTCGTGACTTCCTGACTCTGGAATGCTCCGATGCACTCGTCAAAGATGCTAATCATGACTTTTGCCTCCCGGTCTACTAAAACCTTCTGCGACATCGACAGGTGCATGGCAAAACACCACACAACCTCTACAAACTGCACATTCAAGCATGGGATCTCAGAGAAAGTTGTAGGACACACAAAGACCTCCCTGACTTGTGTTCGCGTACATGTGTCTACTATCTATATCTGAGTCTTAAGTCCCTACTTCTGTGTTGGGTAGAACGGGTCGCCAGGACTTGAACCCTGGGCCCTCCAACTGCGCCGAGTCTCTCTGAGCCGCTCTAGCTCTCGGCCACAAGCCAGGCATACCATCAGGAGAGGCTGGCAGCCAATCTCCTCGGGTGCCGGCTTGGCTAGAGCTGGCCTTTTGTTCGAGTATGGGCTCTGTAAGGGCTCCGGACGAGTTCGGGGTTTTGGGGTTTCGCGGCTCTGACTCGGTCAATCCAGGCGAAGCGTGAGTGAACCCACAGCGGGCGGGCTGGGTGCGAGGAGTGGTACTAGTAATAGTAGTCGTCGTCGTCGTGGTAGTCGCAGTTAGGAGTAGTAGTAGTAGTAGTAGTAGTAGTAGTAGTAGTAGTAGTAGTAGTAGCAGCAGCAGCAGCAGGAGTAGTAGTAGTAGTAGTAGTAGTAGTAGTAGTAGTAGTAGTTGTTGTTGTTGTTGTTGTAATAGTAGTTGTTGTTGTAGTAGCAGCGGCAGCAGCAACGAAATCGGCGATGCAACACAACGACCCCGAAGACATAGGACTTGCTAGGAAGGAAGTTCTTGATGCTGGCACGATACCGGGCTCCTGCAGGCCTTTCTCAGAATCCGTTCTAAACTACCGCCGTCGCGTTGCTAGGGCATCAGGAGTAAGATGCCAACAACCAAATGAGACCGCACTGGGGGGGATATTAGCGGGGCGGGATGGGTCAGGGGTTTGACCGACTGGTACTGTAGTGAAGATCTCACGCGGGGAATGCCCTTTCACACCAATCAAAAAACACAACAACAATATACAATAAACATGTAAGAGACTTCCTTATCTAAGCTTCCATTTTAGCCCGTCTCACTATCCAGAGTGCAAGATACTCACTTCACTGCCCACAAGCTACTCAATCGAAGACCCTGAAGCCCTCAGGAGGATTTAGGGCGCGAAAGGGAGCTAGCCGAGAAAGTCACACCTTGCGATCGAGGTGCTAATTGAAATGCTTTCCACCTTAGTTGATGGAACGCAGGACCCTGATGTCGCTTTGCGGCAGGGTCTGGCAGCAAAGCTGAATGCTCCTCTGCCTGGAACGGGTCAGATTGCAGCTCCAGAAACAACTCGCTTGACTTCAGGTCTCCAGCAACTTCTGCTGGACACCCACAACGACGCGAGTATCCGAGAATCACAGAGAAATCAGGCAACCCCTGCACAGTTTATCAAGATCCCGTGCTTCCTTGCAAAGGCTGGTGAAGCCTCGGAAGAGAACATTTTCAACGAACGGTGCGCAAAGCCCGAATCCAATCCACAAACCAACCATCTCCGCTCAACGATTCCCGCCACCCCCAAACATCATTCAACCGATGAAAACGCAACCTCACCCCCGTCCCCTCCCCCCTCCCCCTCAGCAAAAGTCAAAGAACACTCATGCACCCTGCGATCCCAAACTCTCAATATTACTCAATATTCCTCTTCCTCAACCTTTGACACAACCCCTACAAGAGCAAACAAACACCTACACCCCAAACCCCAAACCGAGCCCCTCCCTCAGCCAAGAGGCTCCTTGGAAGAGAGCGCCTGCGCATCGCTCAGAGGCCGCACCTCTTTTGGGTGTCGACGGTTTCTTTAGGGTGTTAGTGCTTTCTTCAGGGTTGAGGGTTTGAGGCTTCTCTTGCCTCCTACCTAGCAAAGACAAGCCTGCATTGCAGGGTAGCTCTCAGGGAACAGTTGAGAGCAATCGAGCGTCTTGCGTCAGGGCTTCGGGTTTGGACCGGGAGGAACCAGAGATTATTTTTCTTTGCACGGCTTCGTTAGGGCTTTACGGGATCTTTCGGGATTTGGTAGAGTTTAGGGTTTGGAGCTTTGTGCTTCTTAGCATTGTACCCGACTTTTTATTTTTTGTGGTGCAGGGCTGTGAAATTCCGGGTTTCCGGCGATTTGGCCTAACTTTGGCCTCCTGCTTAAGAGGAGAAAACAGCACCCTAAAACCCGAATGGTTTCGGGTTTAGGGTGCAGGGTTTAAGGCTTTCTGGTGTGTCGGGTTTGGGCTTCAGGGTGTGGGGTGAAGCTAAGGGGCTGTGGGGGTTTGAAGTTTAGGCTTGGGTGCTTTTTGCCAGTTGACGCTCGGACGAGGGGGTTTCGGACCAAAGCCTGCCACCTGGCAAAAAAACAGGTGCAGCGTGTCTTTCGGTCCTACAGTATACTTCGAACATGAAGCTAGGGTCTAGGTTGGGTTGAGGGTTGAGGTATGTTTAGGGCTTAGAGCAGGGAATCCAAATCCAGGTTAGGAATGAGTATGGCAGTTCTGGTCTGAGGGTGGTACTTGTATGACGGTTTCGGATCGATTAAGGCTTGGGGTGATGGCAAGATCAGGGCTCAGAAGGGAGGAGTAGGATCCAGTAGGGTTATGAAGGCTCAGGGTCGGTAGTACCGAGGCCTTGCAGCTAGGGGGTCTTAGGGTTGGCTCAGGGTTTAGGGCTCACTGTGTCGTGTTGGAGATGGATTCATGTCCAGGATGCTTTGGGTTCTGAAGGGATCGCTGAGGAGTTCGGGTGGGTGATTTTGCCTCCTGCACTGCACCAGTCTGTCAAGGTTTAGGGTTTACGAGCATGCACAGGGTTCGGCGTATCGAGATGGATCAGGCCTAGGCCTTAGGATGGTTCGAGCTTCAATGGGATTTATGGCTTAAGATTGATCTGGGTCGTGACAAGACCCATGTCTGTTCAATGCGGATCCCACAATTTGGGGGGGGGGGGGCTGAGCGACCCAGAAGCTCCGAAGCAGATATCTCAGAAATTACTGCCTAAAACTAGTCGCGATGAGGTCCCTTTTTGAGATATGGGACATCGTGGCTCGGGGCCCCAAGCATCCTAAAGACATCTCCGTGACGCCAGGGTTTCAGAGCTTGCGACCCATAAGCTCATGGACTTTCGATGCCTTGGTAATCAGAAACAACTGTTGAGGTAGCTTGTAGTTGTTTTTCTTTATAGCTATGTAACCTCTATAGCATTAGACTCAGAGTCGTAGGGCTTGAAGGTGAAACGGCATGCGGCATGCCACCATCGGGCTTCGTCTCTAACACTAACTGGCAAGGCTAGGCCTAAACCCAAACCGAAAAGCCCGAAACATCTGGGATCCTGAACTCTCATCTAGGTCTCCTCTCTCTGTCTGTCTGGGTATTGTACAGAACTGGAATAGTGACATTGAGGTCCCTTCAGTGCCTCCGACACATAGACGAGGCCGGGCTCAAGCAAATCGTGCTTTCGCAGATCATCCAGGCAAGCCCGGACTTGTGCCTGCCGGGCGTAGGCTTGAGGCCTTCGGCGTCTCTTTTGATGGTTCCTGGAATACTCTGCGAATCTTCTACCTTAGTCTGACAATATTTACTTCAGATCCTCATTATGGTGCGAGCGGCATACAAACGGATGTAATCATACTAGCGGTGATGCTCCGCAAGAAGATTGGGAGGATGGCGATAGTTGCTGGATTTGTAGTACTCGACGAAGTAATATAATAATCATCACCATACTAATAACCGTACGGATACGAATAACAATAAGAATCAGAGAAAAGGAATAAGAATATATAGGAATAAGAACAATGACAACAATAACAAGATTACGATAATAATGATGAATGACCTGTAACTTGGTGCAATTGAGATTCTTTTTGGCTAGTGCTACTATTGCTGTTGCTACGTACGATTTCCGTTGGCATTATGAATGGAACTTAGTACAAGTCGTCGTCGCATTCGCCGTCGTCGCCGTCGTCGTCCTGGTCGTCGTAGTAGAAGTAGACGTAGACATAGAAGTAGTGGTATAAGTAGAAGTAGCAGTAGCAGCAGCAGTAGCAGTCGCGGTAGCATTAGCTGCAGCAGTAGCAGCAGTAGCAGCAGCAGTAGCAGGAGATCTATGATTGCTTTTGGTTACTGTAATTTATATCCGGTGTCACTGCAAGACATGGACAGTTTCGACGCCTCAGAGCCTCTGAGTGAGGCATTTCTATCATTAGGGTTCGCCCTGTATGAACCCAAAACCCAAACCATCCACCACATTCCATGACTCAAACCCGGAACCCGGCGCCTTGTCCAGCTCGAAGCACGCCTTGCCCAGGGGGTTCGCAAAGAGCGCCGCGCGCTGCTTGTTGCGCACCAGCTCAGCAGCCTTGGGGGGGCGGCCTGGGTCCTTCTTGGGCAACCGATTTGATCCTGAAAGGGCTGTCTGCATGATTTCATAAGGGCTCTCTACGGTGTTTTTCAGTAGGATGAGGGCAAAGGCTTGATTATTAGGGTCTGATGGCATCTGCCAGACCTGAATGCCCTAGAAGCCCAGCCGCTCTCATGGCTAGACAGACACAGGCTTTGCATGATTACATATGACCAAAAACCGAGCCTTTCAGGGTGTATTGGATATTGTTCCGACCTATGAAAAAGCTTGGGTCTGTTTCTATACGCACATATTGTATGTACGCGGATGTGGATCTGTATCTGTATACGTACATGTCTATGCTTGCATTAGGATCTATCTGTGTGTATATATACATATATACAGGTGTGTATGTTAGTGTATGTACCTGTAAATACACCTACACGACATAACAACTGCAGCAGGGAACCCCAAGGAGCAGTATTCAGACCTGTATAACTAGTTAAAGTATACCACCAAATCCCGATGCTGATTATTCAAGCCCCTAACTATATAAAAAAGGCCTAACTATAGAAACCTCAAGATGCCTTAACACAACCCTTCAGAGAAACCCTGTTGTACACCGGCCTTCACCTGCGAGAGCGTCGCAACGCCCGGCACCGGAGTCATAGCGTCATGGCTGTTGGGGGCTGGCGGGGGAACGACGACCAAAAAGAAAGCAGGGGTATCTTCGGCGTAGTAGGAACGGTAGTGCTGATTAACAAGAGTTGCTATTCTACGAAATGGCGACAATTGAACTGGCGAAAGTTGGGTCAGGGCTTCAGGCTTTGGAGCTGGCTAAGGGGCGTGCGCAGTTTGAGCTTCGAGGTGCATGTGGCAACATGGCCTAGGACGTGTAGCACGTTTCGATGATTAATTCCGGGTCCAAGACAGATCCCCCCGCTAATTTGTCCTACTACGCTTCCCCTCAGTTTTTGGCGAAAATGTCTTTAGAACCTCAAGACCGCACCCTCGCAAGTTTGGGCCTAGATCCTGTGGTGCCTACAGAGCCCTCTGCGCAGAACTGCGCTTCTGAATGCAGGGCCAAAAATGTCACTTCGGCGGGGAGCGTTGATGGGATGCCGGGCAGACCTGAGGTCCGAAGAGCCTGACAGTAAGCAATAAATGCTTCTCGCATTGAAAGCATGGGCATCAGGATCCTCCTGTTTTAAGGTCTACATTGGGGTTCCCGTATCTTCTGAACTCCCATATGGTTTACGCAATGGGGCGGCTTGAATCTCAGCCCTTCAGACCCTTCAAACGGAGAGGTTCGGTGGTCTGCTTCCAATTTGGGCTTCAGTGGGCTCAGGGCCAGAGACCAATGCCCTAAAATCTAGGACTCTAGGTCGAACTTTAGATCCTGGGCGCAAGCCCTAGACCACAAAGTCAAAACCTAGGAAAGGCGACGCCAACTCAATCCCAGCCATCCAAAAAAGACCTCCGGTTAAAGAACTGGGCTGGTCACTACGATTAACAAGAAACGAGGCGAGTAGCTGCAGGATTTAGGCTTGTGGGATAATTTGGGGTACGGCCGGCCTTGGGGTTTGAGGAGTGAAACGGATTTAGGGTTTGGGTGGCTTTGGGCTCATGGTTTGAAGATGTTGGCTTTAGGGCTGCGGGCTGAGGGTTTCCGACCTCAAGTTAAGAGGCCTAGGTTTGGGGAAAAAAATGGGGGGGGAGCCCAGGGCCCCCCATGAGCTCAGGGCCCCCCATCCACGAAGTTCTGGCTGCCCAATGCCCAGACCTCAGTTTGGGGGGGGTTTGGGGCTTCATTCCAGGCACCCAAAGAGACCCAGGACAAGTGAAGCTCCCCCAGGAAGACGGTTTAAAACCCGAAAGCCTCCTAGACTCCTCGACTCCCAAGTGTCGAATAAACTCCCAGACGTAGGCTTTCAGGGCTTCTAAATCCCCACCCTCCCCTGACTCAATGATGTTGTCCTGTGCGGTTTTGATGGGATCCACGGCAGAGAGGTGCATGGCTGCTTGTGATGCTGGTGGCCCTCAATCAGATGCGACAGTCACCACAACTGCGCCTAAGCTGGTGGCAATGTTGGAAATGTTCTGCTCCTGAGGCTGAGTCTGTGAGGTTAGAGCTTGCTTAAATGTTTACAGGTCTGGCCGGACGCTTCACTGTGAAATATCAGCCTCCACGAATCCTCGGAGTCCTCTGTGCAAGTGGTTGACACGAAACCCAGGCTAGAGCGGCAAGAAGTCAAGCCTACTTTGCCAGGGCGACACGACCTAGTGACACCGATAGCCAAACTCGAGCTCTCAGCCAGCTACCATGAAGACTCGGGTGGGCCTTGGTTTAGGACTGTGCCCAAAAGCCTTGGGGTGCTGCTGCTGCCCATATGTACTATCAATGTGTGTGAAGCACAAGGAACGAACATCGTGTAGCCCAATGGGAAGCTAAGTAAAGGCAGCAACTCCAGACAACACCGAAACACCGGAAGTGGCCGGCAGTCCGTGAGATCGTCGAAGCGCGATGGAAGGTGCGATGCGACAGCTCGGAGAAGCGACGGGTATCTGAGGGTGGGGGCTTCGGAATCTGATATAGGGGCCTCAAAAATTAGAACAGGGTTTTGGGGCCCATCATACTATAATTACAATAAGGAACCCCAACAGAGTATCGGCAATTATTAAAGACCCCCTGTATTACTGCTGTTGCACTTACCAGCACCAGCAGCAATCAGTACTTGTGCAACTTTCCTTGTATTGACACCCACCCCAAATGCCTCGAGACACTCGGGACTTTGAAGAGATCTTGGATAGGGTGGCTTCTTCTTATTACTCTCACATTCGCACCCTGCTTATCAGCACCGTCGCAGGTGCCAGCTGTTTTGGATTCCTAGTGGTATAGAAACGATATTGCCACAAGCACTGAAAGCAACACCTCCGTCCTCCCAACCATACTGCTCATGCCCAAAATCCTGCATGACCTGTCACGAATGAAGTCCACTGTAACACGTGTGAACTTAATGCCAACTGGCCATCTCAACCCTGAGCCGGTAATCCATATCCCGACGCCCAAATCTCCAAAAAGCTCCAGACCGTAAGAATGCAAGATCATAGGCCCTATTCCGGAACTCTTCTGCCGGAAATGAGGTGATCCACGGAATCCCGCATGGAAGGACCCTTGGAGCCCTGGGATCCGATGCCTTTGGTCCAGCACGCTGTAGCCATATACCTGCTATGTGTGCAGTCGGTGAGATAACGGTGAAAACCCAGTGAAAGACCGCATTGAGGCTGCGAATCATGGACTGGCTAGACCATGAAGCATGCTGTCAGTCATCATCGCCGCAGTTCGACGTCGTCGTCGTCGGGGTTCTGCTCGCAACAATCGCCGGAGCAGTAGCAATAGCAGTAGGGATTGTTGCTCTGGGTCTTGCTACTTCTGTTCCTCCTCCCGAGTCTGCTGCTGCTACAACTCGGACCTGGACCTGGACTCAAGGCAGCGGCACCTGCAACCCCGTAATTGTGGTCCCGGAAATCAGGTGGTATTGAAGAAGTCTTTCAAGAACTATATCCATAAGCTTGGCGAGCTGTGGAATCTGGCAATATAGTTCGCAACAAGCCAGCAGCACCACGTTGGACAAACCTGGCCGACACAGTCATAGTTCCTGTTAAACTGTCAGGCCGTATAGCTTGATCCTGCCATAAGAACGGGAACGGAAACCGGAGCGAAGCTGAGACGCAACGAGGAGAACGCTCTCGTCACAATGGAAACAGGATCAAGCTGCAATGATGGCAGATGTGAGTTGCAGCATCTCAACCCTCGGCCCGTGCAAGTGGCATGAGGACATGGAAGCCAAGAAATCACCAACAAAACCCTAAACTCGAACGCTACATCTCGACTTTCAACCACCCTGGGCCATTCAAGCTCAAACCCGAAGGCTGCATCAATGATCAGCGACCTACAACGACCCTAACCCGGCTAAGTGCCCCTAGACAACCCGAAAACTAAATATCACTTTTGCATAGCTGCCCTCAACCCTAAACCCCAAGGCCTTACCCTTTGACACCTGGGCTGTGGCTATGCATATGCCGAGCCGCCCTAACACATCCTGAAACCCAAACCCCCTAAGCCAAACCCTTTTTCAGCACGGACTGAGGTGCCGGCCAGCGCCCACAACCCTAAACCCTTTCAAACGGCCCAAACGGTAAACCACTAAACCCTTAGCCCTCTACACTCTTCAAACCTAAACCCCTAAACTTGCCCGCCACCCCACTCCCCACTTTGATATGTTCGGGGTAGGCGGGCGCTAGTCGAGCGATCAGCGAGACCCTGCGAGGGAGCCCCACTGAGCCGGCCTCCAGGCTTGTCTACCCTCCAGGCACGCTAAGACCGAGTCTGCATTTCTCATTTTTTGCTTTTTCCCTCTGTTTTGGCCGTGCCCTGCGCTGCCTTTGCCCCTGCACCCCCTGTTCCCCCCTGCCCTCTTCACTCTGCCCTGCCCTCATGCCTCCGATCCGCGTCGCGCAACAGCCTGTGCGCGTGACGCGATTTTCGGCCCCGCACGCGTGGCGCGTGATGGTTTTCACGCGTCTCTACTGGCCTTTTTTGTTGGTTTTCCGCACTTGCGCACAGGGAAGTTCTGGCGACTCTTCCTAATTCTTCTGGAAGACTCTCCGCTTTTTGGTTTGATGTTCTTTTTTCGGGGCTTGGCCCGCTCACCCCTTTCTGCCAAAATCTCTCGAAACCGCACGGCGGAAATTCCGGAAGCCCGACTAAGGGAAGGTGCGAGAGTCCCTGCTGGAGCGCGTCAGCCTTCACACGATTCGGACCAGGCGTCGCGAAAGCACGGCATCATGGGGGCCGATCGACGAGTGCGAAGCACGACCCACGAACAACCCAAGTCGGGAGCCTCATAGAACAAACGTAAGGTCGCCACATAGCAGCCTCACGGAAAACTTCGGTTACAGCACTGCGAAGACTTTTCCGAGCCGCTAAGAATTTTCCGAGCCGCTACACACTCCTTCGGTCGTGCACGCACTTCGCTTAGGCTTAGATTGTGCGAAGAAACATATACAGGGTCGTAGGCCCTGAGAGTTGTAAGTGCGTGGCCTTGGGGTGGGTAAACGTCGCACACAAAAGCGCGCTTTCGATTGGCACACCTGAAACCCTCAAAGCCAAACCCCCAAACTAAAACCCTAAAACCCCTGACTGTTAGTCATAATTTTTTTTAAAAAAAAATTAAACCCTAAAACCCCTGACTGTTAGTAAGCTCCTTCCAGAGCTCAGCTCGCGACCTTGCCCGGTGAACTCCTTAAGGCGCCCTGGCCCCCAAAAAAAACGCGTTGAGGGTCTTTGGGGTTCCGGCGCTCATACCCTTTCGGGGTTTAGGGCTTACGGTTTAAGGGTTTTGGGGTTAAGGGGTTTTGGGGTTGAGGGTCTTGGGTTTTGGGGTTTGGGGTTTGGGGGGTTTCGGCGCATGATAGCAAAGCAGGCGCGGATCTTAGAGCTTCAGGGCTTGGGGATTTAAGGCTTCTAGGGTTTGTGGCTTACGGTTCTAGGGTTAAGGGGTTTAAGGTCTCGGCCCCGCCTAAGACACGGTGGTCAAATCCGAAGTTCTGGAGTTTTGGGGCTCGGGGTGGGGAGGCCTCTGCTTTCAGAAAAGGCTGGGACTTTTTGGAGGGTTTATGGCTTGCGGGATCTCTGTTTGACTTTCGCAGGTGTCGGATTCAAGGTGGTTAGTTTATCAATTGTCTGGGAGTTCCTGTACTTTTGCCTGGTGCGCTGATCTAGCAAAAGGACAGCTCGCTGCATCTTCATTAGAATTTGAATCATGGCTCCGGTTTAGGAGTTCGGGGCTTAGATGATGCCCTACCCAAATCCAAAGCACCCCTATGATCCAGAGCTACCGACCTCGCAACCCGAAGTCTAAGTCCGAAACCCTGAGCCCTTTCAGGGCTTTTAGCCACCGGCCCAGCTGGAACTCGTCCGAAGACTGAAAAGAGAGCACCCAAGCCAGGATATGAACTCTGGGCAGACAAGCCCAAGAGTTCATAAGAAACGTACCGGAGTCAGAACTCATAATCTCGTCAGACCCCCGAGACCCAGCAGCTTCCAGGGACAGGGCAACCCCTCGTTTAGGAAATAAGGTTCAGGGTTGAACCCCTAAGACTTCAAGCCCCGGAACAAAGTGAGGTTGGGCGCACGTGGCATCTCTTCGGCGACGGCGGCCAGGAAGCCCGATTGCACGGTGCCAAGCAGGGCTAGGCCATACCTGAGCGGGGGCCTTCGGGCCGGCAACATCCCACCCATGTTCAAGGTATGATGTCGGAGGTGACGCCCAAAACCGAGGACGGGGCACCGCGTTCGAGATGTCCTTCAGTCCGGTGTCCGACATGACTGATCATGGTTCAGGCTTCAGGTTTTCATCAGGAAAGGCTCTGCAGAACTCTCTCCGCTTCCCACGTCCACAGCCGCTAGCTTGCATCGACCTAGCCCCCGCTGCAACTGTCAGCACGTCTTTGAAGCTTCCTTTCTGTATGCAGTAAGGCTTAGAGTCTTGGGCTCCAGGTTTCTCTTTTCCATTAACCCAATTGAGGGCCAGCAGCTCTCGCCCTACTCGCACCGCGACGAGCCCTGGTCTTTCCGCCCCGTGTGAAACTACGGACAGGGATGAGCCCCCCCCCCCGTAGAGTTGTCTGTCTCTTTCCCTCTCTCCTGTTCTCCCTCCTCCGCGCGCCAACATAAGGATCTAGCATCGAGGGTGTTCTCGCTTCGAGCGCTTAGGTATACGGCTTGCGCGGTCTATAGCATCTTGCCACCACTCAAAAGTCTCCAGAGGCCTAGTTCGGGCACCGAAGTCTCCAGGACAGCTCTTTGCTGCTTGGGGTTCGGAGGATGCAGGGTTTCTATGGTTGAGGGTGTTAGGAGTCAGTGCTTCCTACCTAGGCGAGAACCTTACGCGCATTCCAAGGATGTTCTCAGGGTTGAGGAGTGAGTTTTGTGTTTAGAGGGACTTTGGGTGGGTGTAGGGTTTAGAGCCTTAGGGTTTGCGCGTGGGTTTGGGGTTTCTGGACCCTGCTGTCACAGCTCGCTTCTTGTCTGTGCTCTTTTTTCTTGACTCTCACAACTTGACGATTCAGTGTGGCTGCTGGGTTCCTTCACATTTCGTACCCATGCCAAGGTATCCCAGGGGCGGTTCGCTCGCTTGGCACACCCATGGGATTTCAGCACTCACTCTCGGACATGCCTGGGCAAGGTTAACATCCATGGAATCTAAGGCCCAGTGCCCAGTGTCTCTGGAGGCCCACACCCTATCAAGCCGTTTATCCATATCCTATTATCCTGCTCCTCTGCAGGTCCTGAGCAACAGCGGCCGTCAGCTTGTGCTGAAACTTGTCGCAAACCCGGCTGTAGAACTCGTCCTTCAGGTGTTCGAACAAAAGCCCTCGCGTTTCGATCTTGATCGCTTTCTGATCTGCTGCCAGACTGTGTCTGAGACATGTTCAGAAGCTCGGACACGACTGGGGAAGGTGACTTGCAGGACTTCATCGGTTATCGGCCGATTGGCCTGAGGGGCTACGGGTTAGAATGAGCTTCTCGGGTAATGCCTAGGTGAGCCTGACGAGAATGGCGCTCGAATGACGATAGTCGCGAGAAAAAGCACCTTCTTGCGGCCCTCCCCCACTCGCCCGACAACCCTGAGCCGTGACCCTGAAACACTTGCTGAGTGCCTTCAGCACCGAAATACTCCACCCCGTGATCCCTGACCCCTATCCTACACTCTGTGACCTCGTGGAACTCCAGCAAAGCCAGGCTGTAGACAACGCAGGACCTGGACTCTCAGAGTTCCCCCACCCTTCCCCCCAAGTTTCTGAGGAAGATGACCTGCTCTGCGCCTAGATGAATTACAACATAGTACATCATGAGGATTTGAAGACTACGTCTGAGCTTTCTGAGCTCGAACCGCCTCCTGAGCTGTATTTTCAAAAAACCCCAAATACCCCCAAAAACCTGAAACGTAAAGCCAGAAACGGAACGCCGGTACTCTCACCAAGTGCCCCACATACCTCGGGGCGTGGCCTTCGGCAGCTGCTCTTGGACCTCTACACATATACATATATATATATATATATATATATATATATACACATATATATATATATAGCTTTCACTCTGACATATGTACACACCTTGACGGGCATACATACATACACAAACATACATACACAAATACATACATGTGTATGCGCATGTGTGGGCGTGGGTATGTGCGTGTGTGTTCAGGTCTTTATACCGCGCGAGCCCCGGCGTGAGCCCCACCTATCGAAACCCAGAACACCTCCCGGTTCGCACTCACCTAGACCTTCACGGCCAAAACAAGCTCTGAACGCACAACACATAAACCCCTTTTTGCACCTGGGTCCATGCATGTGCCGGAAACCGAGGCGCGGACTACGCTGTGGACTCGCGACACACGGCTACCCCAGATTACGCAAACTGATCAACTCGTCATCCCAAGCTTCAGGAAGCAGTGACCACGTGGCTACAACTCCTAGATCCCTACAACGATTCAGAAAGTGATGTCCGTAATACCAAGTTAAATTGCATCACCTCAGCGATTGCTGACGAGGATTTTCGGGTTAAGGAACACTCGCGAGACTCTGGGAAGACGAAGAGTGTGAACAAGATTGTCAGCAACCCGAAGTATCATGGATTCGCGCTCATCACAACAGATCTACTGGTGACAGTAGCCTGTATGTGGCAGATGTAAACCCTAAACTAGATCTTTCCGCAAACCCCGAACCTAGACCACTCAATTCTGAGATGCTTGCTCCAAGGTGCTCGGAATTCTAGTCATGGAGGCCTATGTATTACAGCAACAGAAAAATCTGTCTCAGGGCCGTGCATGCTGGCAGCAAGCAGCCAGAAAGCCTCAGCCATAGGTGTATGGATATTGTCGGGTGTAAATTTGGGCTGGTTATGCAATGGTTTAGCGGGGTTCTACAGGGTTTCATAAATGTGTTCCATGATTATACATGGTTCATGTTGCTTTTGTAGGGCTTCTATGCGTGTTACAAGGCCTTTGTCTTTGCTTTCAAAAGGGGCTGTAGGGCAGTATGCGGGGCTTGGCAACGAAAGCGAATTCGATACATGATAAACTCGTTCGGGGCTTGGGTTTCGGAGTTGGGCGTCGGATTGTGGGTTTGGCTTCGGGGTTGGCATATCGAAGCAGCTTGAAAGCCGATGTTCCGGCTATGCCGCCCAGGGCTTACTAAGACCCAGGCTGGGCTGACGCCACCGCAACAAGGCCATGCCGTAGATGGTGTTGGTCACCTCTCGCGGTTTGTTTTGGCTTGCAGACAAAGGCCCTGAGCCCGAAATAACGGAACCTCTCCGAAACCTCTGTAAACCTGAGCCGCAACCCACGTCTTAGGAGTGAAGCTCCCCAAGACTTCCCGAAGCGCAATCACAGGAGCAGTCAAAACTTAGCAGATTCCAAGCCCTCGTCTCACCGCATCACTACCACCATCCCTCAAGACGCGAAGAAGTGGGACCCTTCATGGATTTAGGGGGGGGCGATCCCGAAGTCTTCGAAGTCTTCCGACCTTAAACTGAACCCTCCACCCTAGCCCAAACCCCAAATCCCTCTTGTAACTGCCTGCCCCTCAATTCCGAAATGCCCTCCAACCCCGAACCCAGAAGACCCTACACTCCAAGCTATGCTACGTCCCACCTCTTGCTCGCAGAACTCGGGGAGTCGGCTTGGTACATACCGACCTGGCCAGACAAAAGCCCCAAGATGTAGTAACCCTCGGCGAAGCAAATGTGAACTTTATCCCGTAGCTCTACGAATACAGCAGTATTTACAGTAGGGTGTTGGGGTTTTGGGTTTGGAGTGATTGGGATGTTGGCTTGTGGGGTGCCGGTGCATCATCATTGCAAGGGATGTAAGGAAGACGTGACCCAAAGTATTACACAGTAGAGCGTCATATGATTTCCGTATATCTCCGTGTTGGTCGTAGCCAGGCTACAGCCCCAAAAATCCCAAACGGAAAACACAGCCCCCAAAGGCTCTTATTCCAAACCCACCCAAATTAAACCCTCAACCCTCGGCAAAAAAATGTAAAAAACCTAGACCCTAAACCGGAACCATAAACCCAGACCGAACACACTTTACTGAGGGCCAGTAATTTACCCGTAATCATTGCGGGGTTGCCTACTGCGCGGAGCAGTGCGCTGGGCGCCACCTTTAGGACGCCGAGAGAATACACCGTCGTCGCCAGGCCCTGGGCATTGATTTGGAAACCCTACAGTATCTTATGATGAGGCGTTTCGGCGCTCGGACAATCCGGGCGAGGCATGGGGTTGGTTGTCTGCTGAGTGAAACTGCAACTACTTGGGAAGGAGTCGAGACAACGCTGAGCCCAACATAGGGGTTTACGCTCTCGCAACTCGGACTGGCCAGACATAGGGGTTTCGGCGCTCACACTCGGACAATCCAGGCATAGGGGTTTAGGGTTTGGGATTTATGGATTTAAGACTTTACGACGCTCCAACACGCTCTGAATTTCTTGTAGGGCTTCTTTGGACTTCGCGCAAGGCCTCAATGGAGGCCCAAGCCGAGCTCTAGAGCGGGTTTTGATGTGGGCCTATGGCTTCGCGGGCTTCCGCATGCTTGTTTCAACTTGCCACCACGATAAGTTACAGGGCTCAGGGCTTAGGTGCTTCGGCTTCTGATCCAGGAGCCCTTAAGCCCGAAGGCCTCAAGCTTTGCCGTTGGATTTTGAAGAGAAGTTCAACACGGAAGATGGGCGCGTTTTGGACATGGCGTGCCACCCTTCCGCTCCATGACGGAACCCGTCACCCTCCTCAAGGCACGAGGAGGGCAAGTGCAGATGCAGGCCCAGCTGAAAAACTACGCCCCAACAGGTGTGAATGAGGATCCCGAGTATCACCGAGGTCCAACCTGAACGAACAAGTGCTGCGTCATGTCGGGACAATCTCCCCTCCCCTTCCTCCCGAATTGTCACGAAAGGACAATTTAAGTTGTCATGTCGTGACAATTTTAGGCTCCCTCGGCCCCGCCTGCGTCACACTCTTTTTGCGGTCGGGGCCCCCCAGATTGTCACGGCATGACAATCTGGAGCCCCTCCGGCCCCTTGCTGCGTTACACTCCTCGGGCTCTCGTGTCCCCCCTTCCTTCCCCTTCTCTCCGGGTGATGCTGTCCTGCCTTCTGTCCTGGCCTGTCCCTGCCTACTACTTCCCTAGGCTGCTGCTCCAATGCAAAACTCGCTGTTTTTTACTCCTCTAGCTCGAGGCGCCAGAGGTACACGTGCTTCCAATCCCCTTTGGGGTGGAAGGCACGTTTTAAAAATAACCCCAAAGGGGTGGAGTTTTCTGGTGAAACAAGGATCTTATTGTCTTCAGACACGCCCTTGATCTGTGCCCGCCGCACCCTCTCCTCACCGTGCAGCCGGATCTGGCAACTCCAGTCGGAGCCTTTGGGCCGACCTGGCCGCACGGCGAGGATCGGGGCCTCACGTCCCATGTCAAGCTGCTTGGTCAAGAGCGCGTCCACGTCGGGTGGAAGGCCGCGACTGCCACAGGCATGGGGCAGGCACCCAGAAAAAATTTGCACTGCACTCTGAGGCTCTGGCGTGAAGCGAAAGGCCTCGACCGTACCATTGGTACAGCCTTGGCGCTTTGCCTCCTTCTTGGCATGCTTCGAGACCTGCGACGAGCTCGCTTCAGAATCAATGACTCCTCCAGCCCAGCCGGGCCTTTGGTGCCATCGTCTTGAAGTCCACCCTTCGAAATCGCGACGCAACTCTTGAGCAAGGCAGCTGCAGCGAAACAGTGAGTCGGCTCTTGCTAGGCATGTGGAGGCCGGTTGAAGCGAATCGACCGTAAGCCGCCGTGGCATGTTTAAAGACCGTACCATGCTGCCGCAGCCCCTGATGACAACCACAGTAAAAGACGACTACGACAACGCCAACCCTCAGTATGTTCAGGGAATCCATGTTGCGGTACGATTGCCCCTGAACAACAACCGAGAAAACTCCTCAGACCTGGCCGGACACCGGGCTAGACAGCCCGAACCCTGAAAGCCCGCTACACAACCCAAAAGAGACGGCCTGCGGGCGAAACTCGGTGAGCCTTGGCCGCCTTGGTGAATGAAAGGGCGGGATGACAGACAAAACTGAAGGCTTAGGGTTTCTCGGTGGAGCGGGTCGAGGGCTTAGGGTTATGGATTAGGATTTAGAAAAGGGTTTAGGGTGAGGTGGGTGAGGTGCATAGGATGAAGTGCTCAGGTACAGGGACGGCGGGCGGCAAGCACAGAGCCCAGGCAAGTCTAAGAAAGCAAAACCTTTTGGTTACTACCAAACTACATTAGGGATTCCATAGCGGCGGTCGCTTGAGGACTCGTGGTGCGTGAGGTTGGGGTTCGTTCGCAAAATTAGCGGCACAAAACCCCAAATCCAACACTCTAAATCACGAAACAGAACAGCAGCCTAGTGCACACTATCCACCCATCCACTCCAGGGTTTCGAAGCTCCTGGGCATCGGACATCTCCTCGGCGATAGCAGAAACCAAGATCTTGTCACGATGCCTCGGCATCGGGTTTTCCGCACTTTCCCAGGAAAGGCAGACCAGGCTAGGTTACAACTACAGACGTCTAAAGACAAATGAAGCACATGTTCTTGACTGGTAGGAGCTTGCTACGAGCGCCTCCCTTCACGAATACTTTTCATCTTCACAACAGCGTCGGGGAGTCTCGCACGACCAAAGGCAGCTATGTCACTTAGTTAGCGATCTGCGCATGGTCCACGAATTGGCACACTGGTGGTGCTTCCTCCTAAATCAATCTAGGTGGGCCCTGACTCGGCTGCCGCGCCATCCTTTATGCCGGACAAAAGCAAGCCACCTGTACTTGTTGGCCAGCCAGGCAGACGGCGGCTGCCCGGAAGAGCTTTCGAAAATCGACCCGCAGGCAGTCGAGGGCTTCGCTGCCTGTCGGAGTCCCGGTCGTGACGTGGGAAGGCTGGGACTTAGACCTGCTAAGGCCGGAACGATGCCGCAGCTGCTCCGACCGCTGCATGTGCTGTGCGTGCTGAACGCATCAGCCAGCCAGCAGTGCCTGAAAGCAGCACGGAACCAAAGCCCCGCAGTGCAGATTGGGCATGAGAATTTGCGCTTTGACTAGCCTTCAGCTCAGGCGGGTACTCGTGCCAAAACCATGGATACGTCTTAAACCAGAGAGCACCTTTGGCTGCCCTGTGTTCGAGGCATACTCCAGGCGCTGCGATGTGGCTCCATCCTGCTTGATGCTCTGCTTCCTACGCTGCTGGACCTAAGCACAGTACCGACATGCTCATCGTGTTTCCCCTGCGCCCCGGGGCATAGCCTTGCAGTCGGAAGCGGGCTTCCATGCAGCCTGCAGATCTTCAGACTTCCACTCCGGCACGCTCGCCTTCCTCGGCCGAGGATTGTTCTGATGCTTGCAGTTGCCGCGGCGACTCAAACCCCAAGACTCATGATATTATATATATATATATATATATATTTATATATATATATAGATATATAGTATAATATAGTCATAGACAGTACTGTATGATGGCAGTCTGGAGGCTGAGCCTCAGAATCCGCCGAAGCATTGCAATCCTTGGAGGTCGTAAGACAATCGCACAAACTAGCACAGCCTGAATAATCCAAAGGCAAGCTTCCTTTCGTAGCTCTGTCTCTTGCCGCGGCGCCTTCAATCGTTGGTCCGTGCATTTTGGAACTGAGCCCTCTCTTGGGAAAGGAATACTGCGTCTCGTCACCAAATCAAGAACCCCTACACATTCCTGAAATTTCCTGAGCGCGGCAGTAAGCACCTTGCAGGAAGAAGAGATGTCTCGTGCGACTACAAAGCACGGTTTGCTGGATCGTGCCACAGACGGGCACTCTGTCCGTTCTGATGCCTTCTGTGCTGCACTTGTTGCCCTGGCCTGCACGTGGTGGCACCAAAGGTACACAGCTCCTGCTGTACTGGTGGAGAAGCCCTTGATGCGACGCTGCCCTGTCATCGTGCAGTACCGCAGCCGCATCGTGCATTCTGGCACGGCTGCATCGCCAGCCTCGTGTGAACACGGGGGGTTAAGTGGCTTCTGTGCTCCCACTCTCAGAAAAGCCAGCGGCCTGCCAGTTCTTCTGAGCTGCTACGTGCTCACGCTCTGGGATTCCGTGCGCTGCCGTCAAACCTTCGAATGTGCAGAGCTATCGGAAGCAAAACTGCGATGCCACATGTCAAACTTCTTGAATCCAGGAGAGGTCCAAAGCAAGTGTCCTCCGGCTGAAAGGCCGCCCCGGCTACACCGGCCTTCTGCATCTCCATCAAACAGATGAGAGACCAGACGTGCATCCAGAGGTGGTGCAGACCTGCGCAAAACCGTCGAACTTAAATCCCGGCCGTACCGAATCGTGACAGCGCTGAGTCGTGAACGCGATCGCGGCTGGAAGAACTGCCACATGCTTTGGTAGCTGGCTGTTTTCCACTTGTTCCTGGCGCAGAAGTGAGTGTGCACTGCAGAAATCAATTCAAGCAGCTGCTTGTGCACACAACTTGCAACAACAAGCCGTGGTCACCGCTGGTGGAACGTTCCGCAATGGCGGCCTAACTCTAGCAGCCAGCACGTTGCCCAGGCTAGGTACATCCGGCACTCAAGAGCAGTCTTCTTGGTCAGATCGGGTAAGGCGCTGGCGGTGGAGCTGTGATCGGGGCGAGCAATGGCACGGCAGGCACCTTCCCGGAACAATTCACGATCGATGCTTGCAGGGCTGGGACCCCAGAGACATCACAAAGGCCTGCCTTTGGCCTGTCCGCTGCCGCACTGCGAAGAGGAGGCACCTGCGCGAAAGTGCCCTGTCTGAAGGTCTCTGATCACCCGGCTCCGAGAAATACCAAGCCCACCTTTGGCCTCTCTGCTCCTTCAGCGCTTGGTGGCGGAAGCCTTGTGCATGCAAGGCTTGCCCAGCGGACAGCCCAAGCTGTTTCCAAAGCACGCGGCTTGCTTAATCTTGGTCGCTAAGTCGAAGACGACATTTCCTGTGACTGCAGCGTTCTGGCCGCCTGGCTGAAGTGGAAGGAGGAGAGTTGTACCCGTACGAGTTGAGAACTTTACGGCTGCTGCTGTTGCTCTCAGACCACAGGACTATATAGTCGCTGGAAACTGTCGACACGGCCACACATCCCGGAGCCCGACCTCCGAATCTTGCTCGCGGCGTCCAGGCAGTTCTGTGGCCTACAGTAGCATGCGAATCGCAGGATCCTCTCAATGAAATGCACACTCTGCCAGCAGCCAGCATGCGTACGCAAACCAAGATGGAACGACGGACAGAAACTGCCTTTTCCCGAGTGGCAAGACTAGCTGCTTACAAAGCCGAAACCCTGCACCAAGTCACAGAATCAGCGGCAGAGTCATCTCTTCGTTGCGCCCGGTCGCTGCTAGATGCACCTTCCCAAACAGCACCACGTCTGGACTTCTGCTTCCACGCTTCGCACCCATGCTTCGCCTTTAGAAATGGCACGTGTTGCGACTCCTGGCAAGTATAGGCCCTTCGAACCACTCGGTCGGGTTGTCACCTGCGGTCAAGAAGTGTAGCGAAATGCTGGCTGTGAACAAACTTTGCAAAGTGACAGACGCTTCTGAAACACAGGTTCTGGATTTGAAAGCTGGGCTGCGTAGCTGGCTAATGCCGACCTTTAGGAATCTGGCAACCCAATCAGATGCCTCCTGCTCGGCTGGAACAGTCACACTTCTTCTCGGCGGTGCGAGACCTTGTTCTGGAGTCTGGAGATTGAAGGACAAGCAAAGTCATCTTCCGACACTCCTGCTTGGCCAAGCACCTCGCAGCACCGTCGAGGAGGCCACACGGCAAAGCGGACAAGGCATTCGCCGGATCAGCATCTGGCTTGAACAGCTTGAGCAGAAAAGGTGGTGGCAGGATAGCCACAAGTCCCATTCTCCACGATGTTCGCGGCAGATCCAACACGAATTCCTGAAGACATGCAGCCGTCTATCCGTGCACCGACATCAAGCCTTTGCCCCTGCACTGTTCGCATAGAATTCTGCTCCAGGCTCTCAGCATAGTCTTCAAAGGAAGACTGCACACAACGATCGTGGAACTTGTCGAAGTGTCTTCCCAGGATCACGGCTCGAGCCAATCCAATTCGCAGCACCTGAGAAGAGCTCTAGTCCCCTCCCTGACCACAGGCGGGAATCGGGAATGTCAAAGCACATCTTTGCCCAGCCTGCTTGCCATCTTCCAGAAACTCATTGAGAAGGCGTGCCTGCTCGTCTTGCGGATTCGGATCTCGGAGCGGCAAAGACACCTTCAAACGCACATCGACAGCTTTGCCGGATCCGAAATATCAAGCAGCCTTTCTTGAGAAGCCTCCATCGTAGGTGGGGCGCCCGACTCCGCTGGCCCTGCCAGGAAATCATACACTCGCGCCCGCCAGTCCTGCAAGGAATGTCGAGATCCTAGACACATGAGCCGCCTGCATCATGCAAGCCATGGACTCTTTTGCAATGTCCCCTAGGAGACTTCCAGCCACAAGTGCAGCTGCAAATTTGCCATGTGATCGGAATCATTTTGGGGGTAGAGACGCCTAGCTAGCGATCGTGAAGCCAGCTCTGCGCTCGCGTGGGGCCTGAGCAACATTCCTTGAGTATGTTTCCTCGTCCTCAGCGAGTGTGCCCTCTCCCTGCTGTACTAAACCGGGTAGACTAGGGCTAAGCCATTCTTCAAACGAGATCTGCGCTGAGTAATCTTATTCTGTCCCAGGGATACAAATGGAACACGTTGCAAGCAGGACATTCGCAATCTGATGCCAGGGCCTGTTTTTTGCGTGTCATAGCGGCCATAGCGTAGGGCGAGTTTTGAGGTCTGGGACAATCGCGAACTTTCTTCAACCCTCTCCAAAAGGGCTTCCCTAAGCAGATACTGGGAGCTGCGGTGGCTGCAGCCTCGACATGCTTGGCCCTTCGCTTCGGAAGTGCATGGGGAAGAAAAGAGATGCTAAAGCTTGCATGGGTCCTGAAGAAATGCTTGGTTTCTAGGAGAGCAGTCGTCTGGTCCGCCTGTCTGTCTGTCTCTGTCTCTACCTGTGTCTCTGTCTCTCTCTCTCTCTCTCTCTGTCCGTTTCCTACCTGTCTCAGTACAATGCAGTGGCAAGGCATTAACAAGAACTGCGTCGGAAGTCCTCATCATGATGCAGATCAGAACTTCGTCGCCAACCCATGCGCATGAACTCGATGAAGCGATTGCCACCCGAATACATGCGTTCCACAGGCGTGTGCTGGTGCGTGCCCATGAAGAAATACCTGGAAAGAGGTCAATCGGAAATGTGAGTCATGCGCAGAGTGAGCCCTGTGATCTTAGGGTGTTCGGCTACTTCTAAGGCATCTTAAGGGCTCGTCTTCCAAAAACAGCACACCGGCTCAGGTCTCCGAACGATGCGTCTCATGCGCCATCCCTGGCGAGATGCCCGACCAAGCCGCCCCAAGCATTTTCAGGTAGAGCCTGTGCATGTGTCAACTATGCCGTGCCGTGGGGTGGGAATTGAGCAAGTGCACATGTACAGTTGGCCCACCGGGAAGACATAGAAAAGCCAAGCCAAGGGGAAACAAATCGCTCTGCAGTTGCAGCAGCAGCAGTCAGCGCCGTCCGAGCTGCCAGAGAATCCTGACTTGCGGACTGCTGCCAACACGATCCGGTTACGAATGTCGCAAGCTGCAGGCTAGGACTCCACCCCTTGCCCCATAGTAATCTGTCGGGAAGGTACCGGAGAAGTAGAACACATCTGCCTGGCCATCCAATGTGCAGAAAAGGAAATCGTGGGAGTTTCAGAACAGAAAACTAGGGAACATGCACGTTAGGGTTCCCCTATGGCCTGACCGCCAGCCGGGCTAACGTCCCGTCCCGCTGAAAGCTTGACGGTGCTATGATGCCTCCTGAAAACCGAGCCTCCACCGGCTGGTGATGGTAGCTCGTGATCAAACAGCAATCACAGCAGCAGCTGTCACATCCTCCTGCACACTCGCCTGAACAGCCTCCGTCATACAGGACAATGAGATGTGCCCAATTTGTCCATCGCTGTGCTCGTTACTAGTATCAGCTGCCCAGCCTGAAGCACAGCTGGTGCAAATGTCGGCACAGCAGGCGCCGACTGTGACGAGCATTCCGGCGGCAAGGATCAGCATAACAGACAGCCTCAGCAAATCCAGAACATCCGGCCCTGTGAAAAGCCACATAACCAGTCCTTCGGATCTGGCAGAACTGCCTCAATGCTCTGCGAGTCTTGGAGGTAGCAAGTCAGCGAACCGCTCGGGAAATGAACTGCGACAAGTTCAGAAGAATCACTTGAAATTCGCATCTGCGTTTCTCACTGACGCGACCCCGAATGCACGCCGTGGGGACCGAGAGACACAATTTTTCGAGCACGGGATGAAAACCATCTCCGCATTTGAGTGGAGAGAGCTTCGTGCCGTCCAAGACACCACAGGATCACCGACCACATGAAGAGCACGATCACATAAACCACGGCCTTTCGACTGATCAAGGGAACCGAAGTACAAACACATGACATAACATTGCATCGAGCATGATGTTTACAGTCTGCAGCGCATACGACATCACAACATCTCAACCAACGTGGAAAGGGAGCCCTGAAAACCAAGGCACACAGAAGGCATAGGTCCAAGCCATGAGCTCCAAGGCAAAGACACTCCAAGCCTCGAAGCATTCATACGGTGCAGCCCTCGCTGGACTTTGAAGATTCAACGGCTCCAAGCTCCCATGGCTTGCAGCCTCCAACAACTGGAACAGGTTCCTGCATTGCAGCATGATGTGCGGCGGAGGCGCAAGATCATCTAAGAGAGCATCCCAACCATAGTGAGAAGAAATCACACAGTCTCCACGACACATGTGTGGCCTCAGACAGAATACGTTCTACCTGCGGCGGCGATGCGCCTACATTTCCTAGATGCTGTCCAGTCGCACACCTATGCATCGGCGCAAGCCGTTCCACAAGCTGGGCCTGAGAGCAGGGCAGTTTCTCGGTTCATAACGCGGGCGGCCCGTGTCGACCAGCTTACAGCTCCTGTGATGGTCGCAAATGGCACGTTTCCGCCCGAACGGCGCCAGTAGCAGCACAAAGGGAAGGAAGCATAGCCACATGCTTGAGAACCTGAGTTGGATTCGTTCATATGGAGGGGCCGAATCTGCGGTGCAGGGACGTCGCCCTGATGAGATCCGCGGTGCAGCTTCGTGCCACCAAGTATCAGTAGCTCAAGCTTCCGAGATGTCCATACCGAGAAAGTGTAGACCACCCCTCGATGCTTCGGCTTGTGCACAGACAGGCGCTGCTCTGCCGTGCTGCCGAGGCACCCATGCACTTGGCACTGCCGAGCTCCTTTGGCCCAGTCTCGAATCCTCCGCCCGCATTGGCCCAAGCAAAACCCCAGCCGCAGTAGCAGTTCCAGCCTGATCCCGGCATGTGGTGCGTGCTGAAGGGCGTATGGTAGTGCTGGCCGTAAGTTGCCTATATGGCCGTGGAAAGTAAGGGATGTGAAAACTGCTGATGCCTGGCAGTTGGCTTGGCTGCTCACGGGGGAACCTTCCGACATCGGTTTCGACTCTCGTTCCAAGTCGTGCTGGGAAACGTCTATGCCTAGCCTAGCTCATCAACCATGTTGGCTCCGCATATTGCGCCAACGCCTGACCTGCCCACCCTTTGCCGAAGTTGCGTCCCCAGAAACGAAACCCCCAGGGCTTTGGGAATCAAACTGGGCAAACATGCTGTGGCCCAGTGCTCCAGCGACCGAAAACAAGCTTCCTTGGCACAGTGAGAGCCTTTCTCTGGCTTATCGCTCGGAAACATTCTACTTTAAGGAAGCCGATCGCCTAAACCCAAAGCCCTGAGTAAGTTGATGAACCCTAAACCCTATATAAACCTTAACCCATTCAAAGGCCGGAGCAGAGTAGGGCCTGGGACGATACAGCTGGCGGACGGGATGCCAAGTAGAGCTGCCTCAGCGATCCGCTTCCTATGCCGCGACGCCCTGCAGATTCAGGGCCGGATAAGACCCCTTTCAGGATTTTCTCCCTCCTACCTAGCAGGGACGAAGCCCCCATTTTAGGGCTTCGGCGCCGACACTCGGACAAGGGTTTCGGGGTTTAGGATCTGGGGGACCCCATCACGCCGGGGCACACATTCAGCATCGCTTCGGCAGCTGTACTGAGAGCAAACTCCTGCAGGAAAGCCCATGTCTTGCACGCAACTCAAGTCGTGAATCACATGATGCAAAGACTCTGAAGGGCCCTGACGCACCTTGCAAGAAATGCACCGTGTCTGTCACCCCAGCAGTTCTCCATCCATCATCGCACATACATTTTTGGGACGTCTCGTCCAACTTCCTCAGTATCGTGTCGCGTAACACAGAAGGGCAAGAGACGTAGGGTTCGCTTGGACTTGGACACAGAACGAGCCAGCCACGGAAACGGTCTCATGATTTCGCATGACTCATTTCACACTTGCTTCGCGCCGACTGGTAGTAACGATCTGGCCTCACAAACCTACACAGCCATTACAAATGCCGTCCAAGTTGCCCGTGCTGGCCTCAAGTTTTCGTCAAACATCGTCAAGCAGTAAGCCGCTAAACTTGGACTCAGACGGGACATCATCTACGTGAGACGAAATGACATGCGACAAATCTGGCCCAAGAAGCAGTCAGACGTGACATTGGCAGCGCCGGCAAAGGTTACCAGCACCAGAGCGAGAGGAAGGTGCATGGAGGCAACACGAAGGGTCCTCGGCGAGGGCCAGGCGGCGAGGCCCGACCGCTGTAACTTTCGGCCGCTCGCCGGCTGGTGCAATGGCAGCCTACCATCCTTGATCCGCCGCAGCCTAACCGGACAAGTCTGCGCTCGTCAACTTGATCACGCATGTTTGGATTTGAAGCGTCAGGGGATCAGGAAATCGGTTTCATCCTATCATATGTAGTTGCCTTCGTTCTATGTTCGGTGACAGGGTGAGAGGGCAAGAGTCTCAAGTACAATGTCTCCGTCCTACAAGCACTCTGCAAAAATGAGAGATACATACATACATACCTACCGACGTACATACACATTATACATACATATATGTACATGTGTATGCGTGTATGTACATACATCCCTGGGGTATGAAAGTGTTCGCAAAAAACTCCGAATGGACACCCAGTCTGTCTAAACTGGCACACAAGCGTGCGCTGTAGGCGAAAGTATCTTGCGACGCCTGGACCGGAGCTAGGGAAACCGGCCAGCCCGCGAGACCAATGCTTGCATTAAGGGACACGGGGGGAACGTGTTCCAGTATCGGTGCCAACGGGGGTGCTGTGGTCTCCATGCCTATGCTCGGAGCTTTGTTTGGCACGTTTAGGTTTCATGCTCAATCCCACCATGCTTGAAAGCCTCGGGAGGACTTGTATGTTATCCCCTCTCAAGCGTATCATGCAACAGAGCATTCGGGACCTTCTGTGCTAAATGGGGGACGCTGCAGTTCTTCTTTGAGGACCGGGCTTCAGCAGAGACAAGGCATAGATAATCAGCCACATGTCCTGTCTGCAGAGAGGGATGTGAGGTAGCCTTGCCTTGAATGGCCTCACAACCTGCAGTCACACCGACCCACAAATACAGGCACCTAAAGTCAAGATGTATGCATGCAGCCAAACCCTCGATCGTAATCAAGGGCATGCTCCAGGACGCTCGGAAGAAGGATCAGGCTCTGTTTTGGGACATAACCTCAACGGCTCAATGAAACACAACCCAACAAGGTAGGACGACAAGGACCTGGCCTTTCTTCCTTTCCCACATCCAAGCTCACGCGCTGCCGACTGATTACAAGCACATACATACAACCTAAAGTGCACTTATGGAGCAGGCAGCCTCCTCCTACTGTTGAGCAGCTCTGTGGCTCTTTGACAACACAAAGAGCCAAAAAACACAAGCCGTTCGATGCAGCATAGAACCTTTGGCTATACCTGCGAGATAAAGGCAAAGCAAGGTGTCTTCGCCCCACCAGGGCCTGCCCTCGCATAGCGAGTTTGCGAAACAAGCTAAGTGTTGAACACATGTCCTGCTAGCATGTCGTCCTGGGCCACTAGCTCGTCCACCTTTGTTCCGGGCACTCCGCAGTTCAGCAGCATCTTCCCGACGGACTCAAAAAGGAAGCCGATGGCACTCACCATGGTCAAGACATCTGTCGCACACAAAGCCTTGAAATTTCTTGCGACGGGACACTCAGAGGTGACCAAGGCAATCAAGGCCCCAGTGACAGTGAAGGATGCCAGTACACCGGAAACGTCAGTCAAACAGGTAACCTTGTTTTCCTGTGGTGCTTTGCAGCTAGTTGCTGCACCAGATATCAGAAACCCCCCCTCTCACCGCAAACTGGCTCAGGACCAACGAAGTGAACGCGCAGTCAGACAGCTCTGCCTCTCGATCTCTCTGCTTCTGAAGCCGAGCTCTCACCTTTGCCAGGAGTTCGGAGGAAAGCACGTCACGAGACGCTGCAGGCAGCAGGGCCACTTTGTGCCCGGAACTGTTCGCAAGCCTTCTGACGGCCGGTGCAAGCGGCCCGGGAGCAAGTGATTGGTTTGTGCCGCAGCTCAACTGGAAAGCAGATGCCGCTGTGGAGACGAGCGCCAAGCTCCCGGTGAGCTCGAACGAAGCATGAGCACAAAACACAGGGACGTTGAAGCTGTCAGCACAAGTGGCGGCGGCAGATGTAACAAACGTGGCGAGGAACATTGTCCGCGCCACCAATGCAGAAACGGCGGTAGAACAGGCAGCCTTCTCCTGAGATGTGTCGGTCTTCGCGCAGTTCCGATGCACGAACTGGGCAGCAGTCCCTACCTGGCCTATGGCACCAACGGCGCCCGTGACAGGCCGCAGAGGATCTGCAGATTTACGGGCGGCTTGAGCAATGCTTTGGTTGCTTTCCGTGTCCTGGGCTGGTGGAGCCGCAAGGCCGGGCCACCAGCAGCCAAAGTCGCCTTAGCAAAGCCACAAGGGGAGTGAAACCCACTTTGGCCAGAGGCTCGAGGCTCGAGAGCTGCGGAAGCCAAGCTCAAACCTGCCTGACAGGGCACTAGGAAACTTGACGTTTAGGGAAGAGTCTTGCACAGGCCGTCGCAGCCAATCACTTTCAAGCTGTGGATGTCTGGACGGAGTCAGGGAATGACCAGGAACGTGAACAAGGAGCCCGAACATCACAAGCCCATGATTTGCGGTTTGGGCTTAGGCTTGGCGAAGTTTAGTGGGCATCAACTTACGAAATCTGGCACCGGTCTGGGAAATGCTGCGAGGTAGTCGGGCCATTGTGTTTGGCTTTTTGGCCTGGGGGTCTCCGCGGACTACCGCCGTCTGCGCCATGGCAGGAAGAACCACTGCCAAAGCGAGACCAGCAGAAACGGAGCAGCTGTCAGAACGAAACCAGTGCCACTAGGGACTGCAGTGACTGCAGTGCACGTTTCGCGCAGCATCCTAAACCCTTCGTACCTAAATCCCACACCTTCAGCTTTATGCAAGGGCCTGACAGTTCTACTAACAGTTGGGATAAGTATACAGTACAACGACCCCCTAGAGTAACTCCTAGACACTAACCCAAAACCCTAAACCCCAAACCTACAGAAAGCATCGCTCAGAAGAACTCGGCTTCGAAGCCCGTCGCACGGCGAAGCAGCAACCGCCAGGTGCGCGCGGACTCTGCCTGGGCTCGCTTGGCCAGTCCCGGTTTTTGCGGTGTACATTCGGGTTTTGGGGGCTTGGGACGTCAACGTTTTCAGCTGAAGGCTGCTCCGGTTGAGGTACCGTGCAGCTTTTGGGTTGTCGGTGTTGCGGTGTGCCGGGGTCTTGGGTTCAGGCACGCCGATCCTGAGATGTGAAGGAGACAACATTCCGGTTCCTACAGCAGGCTTGCGCCCACGGCGGCTGAAGCTCGCGAGAATCTGGAATTTCGACCCTCGCACTCGGCACGGCAGGCAAGGATTATCCAGGAGTTATCTGGTCCCTACACCCTTTGCCCTTGACAGAAACGATTTGTGCCTCCTGCCTAGCAAGGCCGAGCCCGCAGGGTATCTCCGAGCTCAGTGAGTGTGCAGGGCTTAGGGCCTTAGGTTTACAGTGTGCAAGTTTCTCATGGTGCACCTCTCAATAAAGGAGTGCAGAGGCGGCTCCGAATTCCAAGCCAAGGTCCTAAGGTGGTGGGAATCATACCGAAAATCTGCAGACTTCAATTCGAAGCTTCCGGAACAGAGATCCTCATTTTCTTCGCACTTTCCGAGAGCTGTCGTACCAGGGAAGAACCGAAAGGGGCTGCTGATGCTTACCCCTGGGGAGACCTTGGGAGATCCCGAGAGATCCTGGTCTCGTGCGGGGCAGACTGCATCCCAGTCTCCATGCCCAAGAGGAATTCTGAAAGCTCTTCTACTCTACCCCGTCTGTTCTTCGGTAGATTCCGGGGCAGAACCCACCAGAGTTGAAGAGTACACTGCCCGTGCGGAACATCAAGATGGCCCTGTTCGTCAGCATCTTCGGATGTGTTTACACCAACAACCGAAACGGCCTCGTACTGTAGACTATGGCTATGCAGCTCAAGAACAAGCTTGAAGAGGGACACAAATGTCCAAAGCGTATGATGCAGGTTCACAGGGACCTCGACCGTATAGCCGCCGTCTACTTGCGGATGTTAGGAAACGCCCCGAACCACAAAAACGGCGCAATGCAGTGTGAACGAACATGGGCCTTAAGGAACAAATCCTCCGTATCATCTTCTTCTTGCTCCACTGCTTCGGGGTTTTCTCCCAGGGTCCTAGACTGGATGCACTGGGTCGGTCTAGGAGTGCAGCAAAGAAGGGAATACTTGATAATACATATTACACAATATGCTCCGTGTTTCATACAAACAGAGTACACGCACATACATACATATATATATATATACATAGATAGATAGTTGCAGGCATTGGAGGAAGGGATGAATCTGCCCCGGCTGCGCTGCGAGCGGGCGGAATGGCCAATAAACAAGCCAAGGCGCGTCTGATCTTGAGGCAATCATGTCCCAAGGACCGAACAAAGTCTAAGACTAAGACACCTCCGAATGGTCACCGACAGCTTGTGATGGAGCCCTTCACCCATAGACGTATAGAACTGATCGCAGAACTGAGATCAACAGCAGCCTCTTACGCTTGGCTTCGGCGTAGAAGGTGGTTCTTGCCCACCGACACATCGCACCTTGAGGTGCGCGACTATGCTCATGTTCTGTTGTTGCGTGGAGCCCAGAATTACATGCAAGCAGCTGTTATCAGCAAGGACTCCACGCACCTAGAATCCCAAAGGCCTCCCCCATGTCTTGCTAGATCGCGGGAACATCCTATGGGACCTACGCCCCAAGCCCCCAAAGGCCATTGGAACCATGCGGCTAAAGAACCGGCGCACTCCCTAGTTGAATGGGGGAGCTCACCTCAGGGACTCGGAGGTCAGAGGAAAGTCTGTATCAGGCGGCAGAGACTATCAACTTCTTGATAGCACAGGCGCCACCGGCGCCAGCCGACCGGCAAAATGCAAAGTCGGCAGCACAGAAATATGATGCTCAAGACGTGCCACGTCTACAATCCTTCATGTGCCCCAGGGTCTGAGGCTTCGCTTAGGCTTCGCTTACCAAAGCCTGTGTTTGGCAAACTGGTTCGTTTGCTTCGGCCGCTCTGCGTCAACAGCAATTGCAAAAGGAAAGGACTGCCATGCTACCTTGCCGACACTTCCGACAGTGGAGAAAGTCTACTGTGTACAATATCCGTCTGCGACCGGCCATGAGGGTTTTTGTTTTAGTGCAGTCTCGCACTTCTCTACAAAAGAATTGGGCCGGTCAGCGTTGACCCGCTCGGACCTCATGCTCCCGACCTGGGAACAAGCTGAAAATGGGCCAAAGAGTGGGCCAAAGAGAGGGTTCCGGGGGGTTAGGGGTGGTAAGGGTTTAGAGTCTAAGGGCCGCTTCTCAAGTGTCTTCGACAAAAAACTGAAGCACATTAACCGGGTCGCCGAGCAGATTCACTCCACGACTCATCACTAATTTGGCGTTCAGGGTTCCCTTCTGGGTCACGGGTTTGGGGTTTGGGATCTGACACTGAGGTGCCGAAGGGTCCACTTCTGGATCAAGTGTGTTTTGGGGTCTGAGGGTACCGCAGACCCCTGGTCAATAAACACCCCTACCTTAAAAGGGCTTAAAAGGAAGAGCCCAACATTAAGTTTATCAAAGGTTATTTTTCCAATCTACCTTAAAAACCCGTAAAAAGGGGCCTAGTATGAAGGCTCCAACAAGCTCGGAAGATCCATGTGCGAAGTGCCACACGTTGTGGGGCCAGGCCGTCTGGCTTTGAGATTTCGGGCTTCGCGCGGTTAGGATGCCCACACCTCTCGGGATCCCTTGGGTGCCTTCCGCACGAATATAACTATATGACTATATGATATAAACGCAATATAACCATAATAAGGAACCCTACGGGATAAGATTGGCAATTACAATTCAGGCTATAAGTCATGATCGGCGCAGCCCTGGAGC